GTAAAGGCAGTTCTAAATGTGCAGTTAAGGAAATGGTTGATGAAAATAAATTATGTGATTCGCCAATAACAATTGCGAATAAGTTTAACGATTTCTTTGTAAATATTGGCAAATACTATTCTGAACGATTGTGACGCCAAACAAAAATAGACCGCAAAGGAAAATAAATCAAAGTACTTTTTCTTAGAGGCGGTAGATGTAACTGAAGTAACCTCAATCATAAACTACATTAAAAAATTGAAAATCGCCCGGTTTTGACAACTTGAAGTCCGAAATATTTAAATATACTGCTGACATCATTTCAGTGCCGCTATGTCACTTAATCAACCGTATTTATATTTCTAATGAAGTCCCAGAAGGGTTCAAAGTAGCTTTACTTACCCCTGTCCATGAAAAAGGTGATGTAAAAGGTATAAATATACTAAGTGACATATAAATCCGAACACCCAGTTTAAATGGTTTTATTTTAATAAAATTTTGTATAAGTACTTAATGAAGCATAATAAGTAAATGATAAAAGTTTCAAAATGATTGCACTGCTTTAAGGCCCTTTGACCTTTAATAATGTGTGGATGCACCCTGATGTGCTACGCATTCTCCAACGCGTCTAGGCATGCTTCTGATCAGGTGGTCAATGTCCTCTTGTGGTATCTCATTCCAGGCAACCACCAACTCCTCTCGAAGTGCTTCTAGAGTCTGAGGAGGACGTTGCAAATTGAGCAATCTCCTATCCATCATATCCCACACGTGCTCAATTGGGGATAAGTCGGGAGATCTTGGTGGCCATGGTAACAATGTGATATCATTATGTTGAAAGAAGTCTATTGTGACTCTTGCAACATGTGGTCGGGCATTATCTTGTTGGAAAGTTGGATCTGCCAGGGTGTCAAGATAGGGTAAAAGATGGGGTTCTAGAACTTCGTGGATATAACGCTGCGCGTTCATGTTACCTCTGATGAAGATTAAAGGTGACCTGGAACCATAAGCTATAGCACCCCAAACCATAACTCCAACAGTGTGATGAACATGTCTTTCAACAAAAAACTGTGGATTCCTCCTTTCACCACGTCGCCTTCTAACCCTGGCACGACCATCGTGCATGCCTAAACAAAATCGAGACTCGTCGCTAAAGACAATACTGTTCCATTCCTGATCCCAGAGTGACCGTTGTCTGCACCACTCAAGGCGATTACGTCGGTGTTCTCGAGTTCAAGGGAGGACCCAGTGTGGCCGGTATGAAAACAAGCCAAAACTTCTCATTCGTCGGTAAACACTTCACATGCCAATAGGTCTTCCGTGTTCTGCAAACCATTCATTTTCAATGGACCTGGTAGTGGAGAAACGGTCCCTCCAGGCCAATAATCTTAGGCGGCGATCTTCATGGTCTGTTGTTCTACGACGGCGTCCAGTGCCTCTTGCTCTTTGCGTACGGCCTTCTCGACAACACCTAACCACAGTGTCTACACTTTTTTGCACTCTAACTGCAATTGCCTGAAAAGAAAGTCCAGCTTCCCGAAGTCCCACTATACGGCCCCTATCAAACTCACTAAGTTGACGAAATCGTACAGGTCTCCGTACTCTAGGCATCGTAACCGATCGTAAAGGATGTCAAGAACCAAAATCCGCCAACGTTGATTCTTTATTGCGGCTGAAATATTCATTTTTAGAGCGTTAGTGAATTAAAAAAAAGCAGTATAAAAACCGGAATGTCCAACTGATAAGGCTGAAAATTTTTTCACTTGTTATTTACAGTAAGATAAATACATTCACCAACTTTTATTAAAATAAAACCATTTAAATTGGGTGTTCGGATTTATATGTCACTTAGTACATCTTTCAGATAAACAATTCTGTTTTCGAGAGGGACTATCAACCAAAGATGCAATTGCTAAGTTAACAGAAGAGATCAGAAAAAGTTTAGAATTAAGTACACCGGTACTGTGCGTATTCTTGGATCTTCGACACTGCGAATCACCAGCAGATGTTGGAGACCTTGGAGGATGCAGGAGTACGAGGCGGACCTTTACAGTTGTTTATAAGCTATCTCTCAAATAAGTAGTGAAGATTAGTGACACATTCAGTAATGAAAAGACAGTTGATTACGGTTTACCTCAGGGTACTGTTTTGGGTCCAGTCTTGTTTACAATTTACATAAACAGCATTCTAACTTCTTCGTCAGTTGGTCAAGTGTTTAGCTTTGCAGATGATACGGTAATCCTGTATGATGATAAAACTTGAGAAAATGTAAAAATTAAAGCAGAGCGGGATCTAGGAACTATTTTTGATTATTTTGCTCATAAACTTTTAACCGTGAGCTATGAGAAAACATTCTTTATGCCTTTTTCTAATACCGTACGTTGTCTACCTCAGTATGAACAACTTTTAATAAATCAAAGTATATCTTTAACATCTGTGAAAACCTATAAATACTTAGGTGTCACCATTGATCGCCACTTGAGATGGGATGTTCATATAGCTAACATTACAAATACCTTACGACAACTCTTATATCGCTTTAAATACTTATAACATCTCTTAGACTACATGCACCTGAAAATGTTGTATTATTCATTAGTTGAATCACGTCTGCGATACGCTATTTTGAGTTGGGGAAGTACCGCATATTGTCATTTGCGGCCTCTGGATATACTGCAAAAAAGAATGTTGAAAGTAATATCTGGCAAAAAAATTACTTATCCTTCTGGTAAATTATTTTCAGAGACTGGAGTGTTTGACCTAAGGCAACGTATTTTATCGAAATCAATGAGAAATATGTTCAGCTAAATTTTTAAGCTTTCAAAGTATAATTTGTGAGGCATTGTTATACACTGTTTACGTACTTGATGTAAAAAATCAGCAATACTGCATTCGGGCTGGTCCGTCCCTGATAATCTCAATGGGTTGGTTATTCTATATGAGAGATCACAACCGATTATTGTGCCGTGAAAATTTCACTGAATTATACAGGTGTCAAGTTATTTAAGAAAAACCGATATCCAGCAGTGCTCTTAGGGATCAAGTTTCTCCTTGGAAAAGTCCCACAGAACCGCTTTTATAACAACTTGTCATATTATTTTTAGTATCCACCATGAATATGGTAGATTTACCGCTTATTGCGGCACACCCTGTATAACAATATAAAATCTCTAAAACCTAGATTTTTGCCTTGAATATTTCTCTCTACATACATTTATTTCGTATAACTGATGAACTCTTACATTAACTAAATAATGCAACTGACGCTACGACACACATGCCGACCTACACCCTTCTTCCATCAGGAGGTTGTCCAACAACCTCCACTCCACTACGACGATCTCTAATACTATCTTCAATCTCCACAGCACCACCACCACCAAAACCAACGCCGAGAGAAGCCTGCAATCCTTCACCTTGTGGATCCAACGCCATCTGTCGCGTTGAGAACCAGTATGCTGTTTGCCAGTGCCTACCTGAATACAGAGGAAACCCATACGAGAGCTGCCGACCTGAATGCCTGTCGAATAGCGAGTGTCCTGGAGATAGGGCATGCATTCGTAACAAGTAAGTCACTATAATTGCCAATTTCTGATAAATAAAGCTGTCTGTATCCGAGTATACTAAGCCTACTTTTGAGTGTGATTTCAAATTAACACTATATTTTTCAATTTTCTGAATGGCTGGTTGGAAATCAACATGCATCCAGAACAAGTATGTTGTTACTCTTTCATCAATGATGCTATCGCTTTAGGGATCTTCAGAGTCTTTCAGATGATATGATTTCAAAAGAATCAGTGCAAAACATCAGGCAAATATTATATTTGAGTATCTGTAATACATACTGAAAACTAAACTTGTGTATTAATATGTTTTTTGACTGATGAGATACAGGTCAAAATACCTCAATGTTGCTCAATCACGATGGTTCGTCATTCCAAGATCGTAGAAGGTTGAAAGAGCCAAGAACACTATAATATCAGACTTCGAATTCTCACTCATCATCCCCCAAGGAAGAATGAGCGAATGGAGAAATAACATTCCCGCCTGAGTGTTTCGTGTCCTACTATTCATCATTTATTTGTCTGGGCGGTCCGTAGGACCTTTGCCCATTAGTCACTGTCTGATGTACGTTAGTCGAATCTGTCAGTCCTGGTTGCCCAGAAACCAGACAAAGTCAAGGAAAAAGAGAAAGGGAAAGAGAAAAACGAGACGAACAAAGAAAAACGGATATGCTTAGGTTAAGAGGAAACCCCTAGGCTTTTTGACGTGGTACACGGATTAATTTTGAGGTGAACTAAACAAATATTTGATTCGGTTTTGTTAGAGTGTAATTTTGAGTTTACTAAAGATTCACGCTAACTTTTGATTACAGTGCGAGCCGTGGCCTTGAATGTTTACGAACTTGCTCCACTGTGTAGTCCACTGAGTCACGCAACAGAGGGTTGCTGTGCGATTCCGCTTGACTATAACGTCGCTGCGCCTGAAGCTTGACATAATCCCTCAAGTAAGGAAAGTCAAGGTCTCTGTGTAGTGTCTCATTTGAGACATACCATGGAGCGTTGCAAATTGTCCGCAAAGTTCTGCTTTGCAGTACTTGAAGACTTTGCATGTGTGTCTTGGCAAGAAAACACCAAGCCGCACATGCATAAGTAATGGCTGGTCTAATAATCGTTTTATATAGTCGAACTTTATTTATCAAACTCAATTTGGAGGATCTACATAACAAAGGATATAGTTGCCGAAACGCAATTTGGAATTTTGTTTTTATGGATACTGTATGTTTCTGCCAGGTCATGCATTTATCAAGGGTGACACCGAGATACTTGGTAGAATTTGTCCATGGTACACGATTTCCGTCTACAGAAACCTCTGCTGGGGGGCCGCGACGTTTTTTGGTACAATAAATAGCCTGTGTTTTCGAATGATTAATTTTTATCAGCCACCGTTCCGCCCACTCTAGAACTTCGTCCACCGCATTCTGCAACCCATCGTGAATCAGATCACCAGTACACGACTGGGCGACAAGCGCAGTGTCGTCAGCATAGAGGTATACTTCACAGTTGCTGGGGGAGGGGACATCATGGATGAAAAGCGAATAAAGAATTGGTCCTAGGACCGAACCCTGAGGAACACCGGCCCGTACTGGCCGTGTTGTTGACAAAACATTGTTAATTTTGTTCTGAAACTTCCTTCCTTCAAGAAAGGATTTCAGTAATTTTAGAAGCCAAAAAGGAAAACCCTTTTGGATTAGTTTATAGAGGAGGCCCGCGTGCCACACCTTGTCAAAGGCTTTTGAGACATCCAAAAGCAAGATGCCAGTACTCATGCTGAGGGTGAACCCTCTGGTTACATGCTCCACCAGCCTGACTGCCTGTAGCTCGGTGCTATGCTCGGACCGAAAACCGAATTGGACGTCAGGAATCACATGATGATTTGACGAAAAATTCTCAAGGTGACGATAAATCACCTTTTCGGCGAGCTTAGAAGGAGCTGACAGCAGACTTATGGGACGGTAATCCTGAGGAAATATCGAACCCACCTTCTTTGGACTCATGATGACCTCAGCAGTCTTCCACCCAGCAGGGAAGTACTGGATTTTGAGCGTCGCATTGATTATTGTCACCAAGTATGTCAGGGCTTTCGGCGAGAGCAGCTTCAACGCCTTGTTGGTGATTTGATCCTCCCCAGGTGCTTTACGCACCTTGAGGTCTTTAATATGACTTAGTAACTCCGCTGGTGTGCAATGTGGAAACTCGGAGGGTTCCGCTAATGTGCTATGTGGAGCCTCAGACGAATCTTCTGAAGAAGAGTCATCTGAAGAGGATTCAGTGCCTCCGCTAACGCCGTTGGCTCTAAAATATCTCCTGACGGATCGTACGATGTGCTGTTCCTCGTCGAGGTCATTATCGAGATCATAGTTGGGAGAGAACTGTTTTTCCATGGCATCAGCGAAAACCTCGACCTTATCCTCCGTTCTGAAGACTATGCCTTCAGGACCGTGGATGTGTGGGAGTTGTTCTCGCTTTCCGTTTCTGAGTGACTTTGCGACCCTCCAGAGAGGAATACTTGAATCAAGCATTCCCGCCAGAAAGTCGCTCCATTGCTCGTTGCGGAGTTCGTGCAGTGCGTTTCTCACTTCATGGACAAGATTTGTAGCCCTACGAATATTTCGTGTCCTTCACTGACGGATCCTTTTCCAAGGAAACAGGATCTAGTGGTGCGGGAATGCGGGGAAATGGCTGAAGGGAACCTTGGCGCTTTGAACCTGCAGAACGATCTCCCAGGCAGAGACATTTGCCATCTTAATGGTGGAACACTCAGAGGAATTCAGCAGTGCTTCGAGTGGAGCATATTTACTTGCTCTGACAGTCAAGCAGTAGCATCTCCGAGAATGTACTACTGCCCTCCAGAGTTCAGCTCGATTTAGAGGACCCCTAAAACAGCGGAGTGTCGCGTAACTAGAAAGCTGATCACCTGGCTAGGCTGGGTGCCAGAAGCACCTGCATCGGTTCCGATTCTATACTAGGCATGAGCAGGAGCCGGATCAACACCACTCTGAATTAACTGGAGTATCTGGACCTGGAAAAAGCGTATAGGAGGAGAGAGAGATGACTGCAGAGATGCCAAGAGGTTTGCAGTGGGCCCCGACAAACGTGAGATACGCTGGCTACTGGGCAAGGGTAGAGAATCACTAAACCTTTGGGTGGAGGTTCTCAATGGCCACTGCAGACTGAACAGGCGCTCATTCCATTCAAGGGTGAAGAGAGATCCCACCCATGTGCTTGGTGGATGACGAAACAGCGTTCCAGTTTTCAGTCTACTGCCCAGCGTAATGCGGCCTAAGGGCTGTGATATTCTAGGCCATTGGAGTTTGTTGGTGAAGTTGCTGATCTTGACTTCTATCAGAAGATCAGGAAGGTTCGACAGATCAGAGAAAAACATGTAGAGTAGAGTGTTGGTACACTTGGGATCGCAAAAAAGGACCAAGGTTGACTACTGATGATAATATAATAAAAGATGATAACGCGAAGCTACATAATGAAATAAAATCAAAAATGCCAGAAACATATACAGTGAAAACTTAAGAGATAAGTAAAAAACCACAAATCGAAGTTATTGGATTTTGTCAAGAATATGCAGAAGACGAACTAATAAATACTATAAAATCACAAAATGAATCTTTTCAAGAAAATTCACATATGAGAGTAATTACAGTCAAGAAAATGAAAACTAAATATCAAGCAATTTTAGAAGTGGATGCTGTGACTTTTAAGTGTGTTATGAATCAGGGTGTTATTTTTATCGACATGTCTGTTTGCTCTGTTTTCGAGTACATCAATGTTTTGCGATGCTATAAATGTACCGGATTTAACCACACAGCTAAATACTGCACAAAATCAGGAAGATGTCTTACTTGTGGATTAGAAGGACATTCAACAGAAAACTGTAGTACCAGTGAAATGTACAAATGCTGTCCAAATTGTAAAAGTGCAAACCAGTATTTTAATCTAGGATTACCTATTAATCATGGACCATTTGACAAAAATTGTGAAGTATATAAAAGGAAAATTGAACGTGAGAGGGAAAAAATTAATTATGCAAATGAATAGCAACTACTAAGCTCAGATTTGCAAGACGTGGCTAAATCTGTAAGTGATATATAACTCAATATACCATTTAAACATACAAGGAGTCCTGAATAATATAGATGAAGTTCAACAGTTTTTAAGATGGAGAAAACCACTTGTATTATGTCTTACCGAAACACATGCTACAGAAGACATCACTGATGGTGAATTACAAATTACTAATTATAAAACCTACAGATGCAACTCCAACTCCAGATATACTGGAGGTGTAGTGATTTATGTTTACCACAAAATACACATCACATTATTCGATTGTACCACTTTAGACTATGCATACTGGTATGCACATATACAGTTCAAATTATTTGGTAAACGTTATGATCTTTGTACTTTTTACCGTTCACCAAACAGTGATACAGATACATTTTTAATGTTTTTTGAAGAAAAATCCGAAGAAATGTGGAATTTTAGAAACAATATAATACTTTTAGGTGATTTTAATTTAAATTATTATGGTAAAAGCATGAAAACAAGAAAATTGAAAGAAACCATAAACAACTATGGGTTCAAGCAAAAAATTGAAGAGAGTACCAGAATAACATCATTATCAGAGACTTTGTTAGATCTTGTTATTGTAAATTTCGAATGTGCAGGGATTAAAGCTGTACATACACCTAAAGTTAGCGATCACAGTTGGACAATGCTGCCCTTGGTAGGGCATTTTTCTGATACAAAAATTAAGAAAATCGTAAATACTATTAAATACGAAAAACTTGAACGAGAACTTGCTGGCTGCAATTGGAATTTTGGTGAGAATATGGAAAAAATATATGACAACATAATAGGAAATATAAAAACTTGTTTAGATCTTGCAACTGATAAAAAAAGTGATTTGCTCGACAAAAAATACACTCTGGTATAACAAGAATATTAAGGCAGCTCAAAATTTGAGAGACAAACAATACAATAAATGTATATTCACAAAATCAAATGATGATTGGGAGGTATATAAAACTCTTAGGAATAAATGTGTATATGTAATTAGAGAAGAAAAAAGAAAATTCTACGATAAACAAATCGATAATAACAAGTGCGTCAGTGTAAAGATGTGGAAGACTTTAAAAAAACTGATCAATTCGAAGCCGCATGATTGTGTAAATCAAGTTCAATTCGAAAACGGTACCGAAACAAATTCTTTGGTGATTGCAAACAAACTAAATGAATATTTTGTGGAAAGTATTGTTGATATTGTAGGTACTGCCAATGCTGCACCTGACTATATGAAAATCAGTTTCCAGGGGGAAATGTTGCATACACTTTCAAAATTTCACAGCGTATCATTGAATTATCTAAGAAAAAAAGTAAAAAGTTTAAAATCAAATAACAACTGTGCCGAAATGACTACTAAAAACGTGCTTAAAAACTGTTTCGAAATTTTGGGATATCCTGTATTAAATTGGATCAATTGTTTACTGAGAAGCAGTTCTTTCCCTGAAAATTTGAAATGCTCTACAATAACACCAGTTCCCAAAATAAAAAATTCTAAAAGATGCAGCGATATGAGACCAGTAAATGTGTTACCAGACATTGAAAAATTATTAGAGTCCATAGTGCATGACCAATTAATGCAGTTTATAGAAGAAAACAAAATTTTAGTGGAGGCGCAAGCAGGCTTTCGAAAAAAATATTCCACAGAAACAGCTTTCCAGTTGGTAACTGAGAATTGGAGAAGAGCCATAGACTCAGAAGAAGTTGTCATAGCAGTATTTTTGGATTTGAAGAGGGCATTTGAAACGATTGATAGAGATATTTTGTTAGGTAAATTGAAGGCATATGGTATAACAGGAAGTGTGTTAGATTGGTTTAGAAATTATTTGTCTAAAAGGATGCAAGTTACAAGAGTTAATGACACTATTTCATCAAAAATTGAAAATACGTTGGGTGTTCCACAGGGCAGTATCCTGGGACCACTTCTTTTTATTTTATACATAAATGATTTACCTGCCATAGTCAAAAAATGCAAAATTCAAATTTTCGCCGATGATACTATGATTTATATAAGTACTAAAAATATTCAGTCTGGTATCTCTTATATAAATGAAGACTTGAAGCTTGTCTCAAAATGGTTAGCATCTAACAGACTAAAATTAAATGCAAGTAAAACGAAAGCCTTGTTAATCGGAAAAAAACAATGTACAAATGTTCAACTGAATATTGATGGTGAAGATATTGAATTCGTAGAAAATTTTAAATACCTGGGAGTTTTTGTTGACTCTCGATTAATTTTTGATATTCATTATGAAAAAGTTATAAATAAGATTAGTAGTAAAGTGGGACATTTATCGAGAGTTTCTGGATGTCTGAGTTCATATAGCAGAAAAATTATCTATAATACCATCATTCTTCCAAATTTCTTGTACTGTTCGACTATTCTATATTTAGCAAATAATTCCATTTTTGAAAGACTGCAAATTTTACAAAATAAGTGCATGAGAATAATACTAAATAAAGATAAATATACTCCAATTAGGCAAATGCTTAGCAAATTAAAATGGCTCAATGTAAAAATTTATATCAAATATCTTGTAATGATATTCATTTATAAAGTAAAAAATAATATATTTCCATCAAGTCTAACTAATTTAACATCATCAAATGTCGACCATCATTTACATAATACCAGAAATAAAGATGACTTCCATTTAATGACCAAAAAGTATAACATATGCTACAAATCTGTATTCCATCAAGGGTTGATTGAATATAATAAATTATACTCGGAGATAAAAGACCACAAAACTTTGACAAAATTTAAAGTAAAATTGAGAAATCACTTGTTAAATCTACAATTATAGGTTGCCCAGAATTTACATCATACACCATATGGCTTGAATTTACTAGTTCTAAGTTGTTTACAATTGTTCTGTTTATGTAGCCAAATGTGCTAAATAAATCTTTCTACTACTACTACTTGCCTGGCTTCACCTCACCACTACTACTACTGCTACCAATAGCTCAATCGCGAAGAAGCAAGGTCCTTCTTGTGTGTTTCAAGAGTAACTCATACGAAAGACCTGGACAAATATCATCGACATACATGACAAGGCTACGTATGCCTAAGTGTCAAGTAGTCAAGTAATATCTAGGTTATAGCTACACCGAGGACGCTAATACTCGACAAAGACAGAATAAAAAATGTCCAATATCTATTATAATGTCTGTATCTGAAGGAGCCTCGATTTTTGTTGACCAGGTACCATGATCGAGCGTGTGGCTCGGCTGAATGTGCATATTTCGGCAATATTGTCCGCAAGATCCAGATACATACACTTGTGAAGGTTTCTCATCAGGTTTCTCTTATATTACATTATCTTAACTACAATTCCGATTGTTCGACAATTTATCAGAAATGTCGAGCATGTACGTGTAGCCGCACCATAATCAAAATATTACCATCTGTAATGTATTACAGCTAGTCAATACATTGAAAATATTGCCCGTGTTAGAGGCCTTTTAGTAATAACATTCTTATATAGATGCCAAGATCCGTGCCCAGGAACCTGCGGTATCAACGCTGAATGTATTACAAGAAACCATGTGCCTGTCTGCACCTGTTCGAGAGGATATGAAGGAGACGCCTTCAGAGTATGCTCCCGCGTTATAGGTAAGTAGAAATTCGAATAAAAATCTTTCAAAATATGTAGGGTGTTATGAGAGTAAAGATTTTTAGGAAGTACTTTAAACACCAAAGCGAAGTTGCGATGAAACAGAAGCAAAAAAGTAAACAAAAAAGCGTAAAAACTGCTTTAATAAGAAATTGCAAATATTACAGTCACATGTTGCTTATAAATACTGTTTGGAGTTATCTCTGTTCGATTCAAAAACAAGCTTGTCAAGCTGTTCCTCAATTTATAATATTTAAGGCTGTACACCTTGACATTCCTTCAAGCAGCCTGTGTCTATAGCTTTTTGTATGAAATAAAGTAACTTGGATTGCGCGGGTTCAAATAGTCCAGAAAAACAATCTAAATAGACTCGCGAAGCATCAACAGCACCTTGAAGGCACTCACTATAAGCTAAATCGTATCGACAAGTGTGCTATTGCTACAAAGTTGTGCCGTTTTCGTTTTTCTTTCAAATCCGATATATAAACTAAGAGCTCAGTAGGCCTACACCGCACCCAGCACTTTAGTTGGTTACTGACGTTCCTCGTATCCTATAACTCAATCCTTTACGGGTAGTAAGGTTAGATTTGAAATCGCAGATTTTTCGGAACCTGACATCTCGATTATCTTATGTATCTTATCGTATGAGTTACCATTGAATAGCGTGGTCTACCTGAAGATGGCCACCAAGCACTATATTTTCACGTCCAAAAAATTATCCGAGATAAAATGAGATACTATAGCTCTGAGAATTTGTCGCATCTATGCATTAATTAGAAATCAACTTAGAAAAGGTTAGTTTTTCATAGATGGTGCTGTAGCCAATTATATTCTATATGCTAATATAGTCAGCTTTTTTGCACCTTGTGAAGGAAAACCACAAATCTAAGGAACGCGCTGTTTCTTCTAGATTTGTTCGAATAGCAAATGCAAAATCCGAAAGTTGTATTTCGGACTTCCATTGTCTAAACAATTTTTAGATCATAACGTTTCGATTAATAACTGATCTTCAATCGTCTTCAGGTACTCAAAAATGTAGACAATGAAAGTCCGAAATAAAACCATGAAACATCTACATTTGAAACAAGAAACGCAATATCAACAAATGTTCTTTCCACATTCGCAGAAGAACCACCGAGAGACCCATGTAACCCCTCACCATGCGGCATCAACACAGTTTGTCGCACATCCGGCAAAACGGCAGTTTGTGAATGCCTACCAGGTTTCCACGGCACTCCATCTGCAGGAGGTTGCAGACCTGAATGTACCATCAGCGCGGATTGTCCAAGAGACAAAGCTTGTGTCAACACCAAGTGCGTGGACCCTTGTCCTGGAACGTGTGGATTCAACGCTGTTTGTAATGTCATCAACCACAGGTTAGTTTACTATCATATATTCGCGATTTGACGAATTTGTCAGCAGATGAGAATAACAGAGTATAGTCAACGCCAAACAAAGTGGCGTGCACGTCATCACGATAAAAATTCCCCGACCTAATGCCTAGGTTTCTATCACAAACAATTGCTCTATTGCAGTTTCATATTAATGTGATATATAAATTGTAAAATGGTCATTACTCTCTTATTATGGTTAATAGTCATATAAACATTGTTATTAAAATATCACATAAGTTGCTTTCTGATAAATTTAGACGCATTATGCGAAATAAAATGTTTTGCAAACGCTCCAATCACTTATCGACATGTAAACGCACTAAACCGATTTCGCAGCGTTGACACATTGTCACCTTGAAACTTATTTAAACTGGGAACTGACATTTGTATTAATTTTGACACTGAATCAATTTGTGGCATTTCAAATCTTTATAAATCCTTTGGCCCCGCATACTGTAAATCAACAACTGTTTGTTTCAAAACAAAATTATTCATTTTACGAGTAGATAAAGGCAATTTTGGTATATAAAGATGCCCAAACAGTTAAATAGTCGGTGTAAGGAACTCGTGGCCTCGTTAATGCACTACTTTGAGCAAGAAAGGGACAACAACGGGCCTTTGTTGCCTTTAAATGCTGTTCAAGAGGTAGGTTACTAATAATTATATGTAATGTATATTAATAATACTGAAATTTTATTTCATTTTTTGTAGCGTGTTGCTGCTGCTTTAAAAATTAGTTTAAGGACAGTTAGTCGTATTTCCGAGGGTGTGAAAAGTGATGCAAATTTAGAATCGCCCAAGAAAAAGCGGAGTTATATTAAACGTGTAACCAACACAGCGACATTGGATACAAGTGCCATTCGAGAAGTGATCTATAATATGTATCACAAAAGTAAGATCTTATTATAATAACTTATCAGAAATTTGCATTAATTTGTTAACTAAATTATAATGTCATATTACACATGGTTTCAGAAGAACAAGTTACGATACAAAGTTTATGGTCTCGATTAAGAGATAGGGCATTATTTGATGGTAGTGCCACGTCTTTAAGGCGGTTGCTTAGAGATCTTGGATTTAAGTGGCTTAAGGACAATCCGCGACGAGGGCTCATGGAACTACCAAGTATAGCTTTGAAAAGGGTGGAATTTCTAAGGCAATACAATCAAGCCAAGGTTGAGGCCTTATACCAGTTTGTCTTCCTCGATGAAACTTGGATATTTCAAAATGGGACCATAGGTCGCTCTTGGCAAAATGGAAACCAAAAAAGCGTGAAAGCTATTAAAACAGATGGTAAAAGGTATGTACTTTTACACAATTTGCACTATAAAATTTAAAACTAATATATTTTAGATACATTATATTACATGCTGGAAATGAAAATGGGTTTATTGAGGGTAGTGAAGCGATATTTTCTTGGAAAACAAAATTGAGCGATTACCATGGAGAGATGAACCAGGACAATTTTTTGAAATGGGTTCAACATCAGTTATTAGAAAAATTGGAGAGTCCATCTATGATTATACTGGATAACGCCCCTTATCACAGCATGATATTGAACAAAGTGCCCAACAATGCATGGACAAAAAAAAATATCAATGACAAATCAAAACATACCATTTTTAAACACAATGTTTAAAACAGAGCTATTGAGTATTGTTGCTCGGTACATAATGCTTCTTAATTATATATATTTTAGTCGACAGTTTATATTTCTTTTGTTTATTCCTATTCTTAAAATAACTGCTTTTTTAGAAACAAACCACCTAAAATATACGTGATTGATGAATTGGCGGAACAACATGGGCACAAAGTTCTTCGTCTGCCTCCTTACCATTGTATATTTAACCCTATTGAGTTAATTTGGGGCATAGCAAAAGGTTACTATAACAGACATATTGGTAGAGATGGTAACAGTGAAAAAGACTGTTTGGATATGTGGAACGAGGCTCTACAAACGGTTACCCCAGACATGTGGAAAAATAGTGTTCGACATACTGAGCAAGAAATTTTTAAATGGTATGAAAAAGAACGAATTTTTGATCGACCAGACATCGAACCTTTAATAATCAACTTTGAGAGTGATGAAGATTCAGATTCAGACAGCGCTGAAGAAAGAAACTCCGACTAACTTTATCGTACAGAAAAAGCTTACACCAGTAGCTTACCTAATTTTAGAATGCATTTTTCTGTATGAATTCTGTAAAATAAATACCATGCATAAAATTTGGACCCCATTTGGATTTTTATTCAGTACCTTTAAGCTATCAATTAAATATGGTAGTTTCATAGTGTCATCTGATCAATAATTGTCATACTTAATGATTATGCAAGTACAGATCTATAATTTTATTATACTATTATTTTTGTTCTCATTTGAGGTTAATATTGCTTATAAACCTAGATATGTAAATAATAAATTTTATTATTTTACAAAAAGTTTGGCAACAATGTAAATTTTTCAACACACCCACCTTGATGACGTGCACGCCACTTTGTTTGGCGTTGACTATATTTCGAATCGTGTCACATATAACCTGCAGTTATATGCTCAGCGGCTAAAGAAAATAGAACATCCATAGTTTATTCACATGGGATTTTATATACAATTAGACACAATCTAGTGCCACGAAGTGACAAATGCTTAAATATTCATGGTGACTACGTTAAAAAATAAAAAAAAAATGTTTAGATTTTAGTTTGTGATATAATTCGATTTCCCCTGCAGGGGGAACTGGATCATATTAACATGGTTTTACAAGCAAACGGCTATCGCAGGGAACAAATAAAACATGCAAAAAAGCAGACTGCCGGCAGAAGACAAGGAACCACCTGCGGGAGTCTTCTTCCTACGATACAGAGTTTGTCCGGAAAGTAATAGGACTGAGTCGATTTAAAAAAACTTACTGAGCCAATCGCCACAATTCTTCAAAAACTTTCAAAATAGGGTCCTTCTGCGTCGATGCAGCGCTGCCAGCGCGATTTCCAAGCATTGAAGGCGTCACGGAAGGCATTCTCCGGAATAGCTTTGAGAGCCGCGATGCATGCTGCTTGGATCCCCTCTGTCGTCTCAAAATACTTGCCTTTTCAGGCGAGGAAACAAAAAAAGTCCGGCGGCCACATCTAGGCTGTAGGGCGGCTGCGGAAGCGTTGGGATGCCGACCTTGGTCAGGTAGCTGTTCACACGAAAGGCGGACCCGACTGACCCTTCGTTTGAGTCTCCTGAGCACTTCCACGTAAAAGTTGGCGTTGACGGTTTGTCCAGGAGGAACAAATTCATGGTGGACGATGCCTTTGATGTCAAAAAAGACAATGAGCATCGTTTTCACTTTGGATTTGCTCATTCTTCCCTTTTTTGGGCGAGGATACGCCGTCGTGTGCCACACGGAAGATTGCCTCTTTGTCTCGGGATCATAGTCAAAGATCCACGACTCGTCACCTGTGATTACGTTATTCAAAAATTGGGGGTCACTTTCACACATGTTCGAATTTTCTTGGCACACTTCCACTCGCCGCAATTTCTGGTCTTCAGTGACCATCTTCGCGCACACCTTGCGCATGTTCAAATGCTGTGTCACAATGTCATGAACCACAGATTTTGGTAAATTTAGCATCTGGGCAATTAAACGAATACTTAGTCGACGGTCTGAGTTCAAAACTTTGCGCACACGAGTCACATTATCGGTGTTTGTCGAAAAACCTAAATTACATTAGAATTAGCCGTAAAAGCCTTCATTCTTCATAAATAAAGTTTCTCTGACCCCATTACAAAACGGTTCTTATTTAAAAAAAAATGACCCTCATATTCTTATCATTACAGCCCTGTGTGTAGCTGCCCTCCACCACTAGTCGGCGATCCGTTCACGCTTTGCAAAGAAGAAATCATCCCTAAAGACCCTTGCAATCCATCACCGTGCAACCCGAACGGTCAATGCAGAGTCGTCAACGGACAAGCCCTTTGCATCTACCCAGAGTGTGTCATCAACCAAGACTGTCCTCGCGATAAAGCTTGCTACTCGCAGAAATGCAGAGATCCTTGCAGAGACGCTTGCGGCTTGAACGCCCTTTGCCAGGTTGTGAACCATCGTGCGATATGTTCTTGTCCATCCGGGTATGTCGGAACACCAGAGGTGCAGTGTAGGCTTGAACCGAAGGAGGAGCCTAAGCCTAAGGTGGAATGTACGTCGGATTCGGACTGTACCAATGACAAGGCTTGTATCAACACTCAATGTAGGAATCCTTGCAGTCCTGGCAGCTGCGGACAGAACGCTGAATGTAGACCACAACTTCACAGGGCGGTCTGTACCTGCAGGGACGGATTCACCGGAAATGCTCAACGTTTTTGCAACGAAATAGGTATGTAGCATAATGTTTTTGAGGTTTGAATATTAATTCATCCACAATAAATGCACTATTAAAGGAAGCATTGGACAATATGGAAGATAACTCTAATACTATAGCTACCATGTGTGAGCATTTTATTGTCAATTATATGGGGTTGTCCAAAATGGACGCAGGAAAGTAAACGCATATTAAAACAAGAAATATTGATATTCAAATCAAGTTGGGTACTTTATTTTGAAGGTTCATTTATACCATTTATATATGAAAAATAATATCGCTCAAACGTTCCCCACGACTGGATTTACAGACGTCCACGCGATGGTCGAAATGTTCAATGACATTTTGCAAAATGGTCGCTTCTATGGCATTTATCTCGGCAATGATGTTGTTTTTCAGTTCTTGGAGGGTGGCTTGTTTGTTGACGTAAACTTTGCTTTTCAAATATCCCCATAAAAAGAAGTCCAAGGGAGTCAAATCGCACGATCTTGGTGGACATGGCACATTTCCTCTGCGCGAAATCACGCGATCACCGAAGAAGGACTGCAATCGATGGATATTGACGTTGGTTGTGGGGCATGTTGCACCGTCTTGTTGGAAATAAACATCGTCCATATCCATTCCGTCAAGTTGCGGCAAAAAATAGTCCTCTATCATCACGTGATATCGCTCAGAATTGACGGTAACGGCGTTCCCGGCCGCATTTTCGAAAAAGTAAGGTCCGATGATGCCTTTTGACCACAATGCAAACCACACAGTCACTTTTTGAGGATGCATCGGCTGCTCTTGATACTTACGGGGATTTTCGTTCGCCCAGATGAGTCAGTTTTTCTTGTTTACCGTCCCATTCAAAGTGAAATGCGCTTCGTCGCTGAACATGATTTTTGATGAAAAATTGGCATCAATTTGGCGGTGTTCAAGGAGCCAATCTGAGAACGTTCGGCGCGAAAAATGGTCGGCCCGACGCAGCTCTTGCGTCAATTGGATCTTGTAGGCGTGTACATTCAAATCCTTGTGGAGAATGCGGAGCAAACTGGTTCTCGAAATGCCCAATTCTTGGGATTGACGCGTTGTTGATTGTCTCGGATCGTCTTTCACACTCTCCTTCACAACAGCAATATTTTCCGGTGTCCGAACGCTCCTTGGCCGGCCAGTGCCTGGCAGATTTGCCACAGAACCTGTTGCCTCGAATTTACGCACCAGACAACCGATGGCTGTTTCGTTTGGGCGGTTGTTGCGACCGAAATGTTCACGAAGCGCGCGAAACGTGTTTTTTATTTTTGCACCATTTTTGTAGTGCTCTTGAATAACTTTAATGCGGTCTTCAATCGAATACGACTCCATAGCGATCAATGGTAAACATTCAACTAACAAAATGACAAGTCGGTGACAGAAAACAATGATGGCGTCTATGTCAAATTGAAGTTTACTTTCCTGCGTCCCTATTGGACAACCCTTTACTATTGAAAAAACTAGAATACTATCCCATAAGAGATACCGAGCTAGCGCTATTTTATTTGTATTTGTCAAATAGGAAGCAGTAAGAAAGCTCTGAGAGCAGCGCCTATGAAATACTGTCTATTTCCAACGGGGTACCGCAGGTATCAGTACTTGGCCCGCTGCTATTTCTAAAATATATTAATGACCTGCCCTCGAGTATTGATAACGGATCCTGCTTCCTATTTGCAGACGATACCACCTTGCTATCTAGACCTGACCAAAACTTGGGTGTGGATAGTCTGGAACAAGCCAAAAGATGGTTTTCAGCCAATAACCGCTAAATGAAAATAAAACATATATATATATATACAGGGTGGCGCATCGAAAACGAAACACGCATTTACTGGCAGCTCAGTTTTTTTTTGGAAAAACGCTCAGACCCGTCGATTTTGTTTTCGAGGGGGACACAAGTTTGGCAAAAAATCACGTTAACACGTGCAGTCCTCTGGCTTAAATGGAAAGGGGGGTCGAGTGATACCTTATTTTAAAGGTCTTTCAATTTCCTTTATAATGATGTAAAATACATGAGCTTCAGTTCAGTAGTTTTGAAGATTTATTGACTTGAAGCTTAAAGTAGACTTTAATAAGTACATCAGAAGACGCCATAGATCCTGCATTAACAGCCATAATTGAAAATCAGAATGATCGGCGGTACATTGCGAATAGGATGATGTTCCAACAGGATGGTGCCCCACCACATTACGCATTACGTGTTCGACAATATTTAGGTCAGACGTTTCCAGATCGATGGATTGGTAGAAGAGGTGCCATTGAGTGGCCCCCAAGATCGCCAGATTTATCACCTTTGGATTTCTTTATGTGGGGTCAATTAAAAAGCAAATTCTATGCTACTCAGCCAACATCATTAGAAGACCTGCGACAAAGAATTGTGAATGAGTGCCTTCAAATTACTCCTCAAATATTGCAAAATGTGCAGCAATGTTTTGAGCAAAATCGTTATTATTGCATGGAGAGTCATGGTGGCCATTTACAACATTTACTTGCCTAACGGATCAGTTCATACTTCATTTTTAAATTAGTTTGCTGCCAAATGTATTGATAGGCAGCAGCGGTGGCCGCAGTAGTAGACTCTTCGGTCTCCTGATCAGTCGCCGTGCGCTGTGCGGGTTCGAGTCCCGTCCCAGGAGAAATTTTTCTCTTGGCTATGGATGTTGTGATTGTCCCTAGGTAGTAGACGGTCTCTGACTGTTGAACGTGGAGGTACCACCCGGCGGATCTCGTAGGCGGAGCCAGAATGTGTGCATGTTGCATGCACACGTGTTCCCTCGCCAGAGTCCGTGTGGCGTTCCCCCTTTCCCCTGTATCCCCCTATAGCCTCACGGTACCCAATGGGTGTTTAGGCCTTAGGCCTTCGTGGTAGTTGGAATATAAAAAAAAAATCTCCACTAATGATGATGTATTAGTTTTATTTAAGCTTTAAGTCAATAAATCTTCAAAACTACTGAACTGAAGTACATTAATTTTATATCATTATAAAGGAAATTGAAAGACCTTTAAAATAAGGTATCACTCGACTCCCCTTTCCATTTAAGATTTTGGGGGGTGGTGTTACCCCCGCTTAGGGGGCTGCACGTGCTAACGTGATTTTTTGCCAAACTTGTGTCCCCCCGAAAACAAAATCGACGGGTCTGAGCGTTTTTCAAAAGAAAAAACTGAGCTGCCAGTAAATGCGTCTGTTTCGTTTTCGATGCGCCACCCTGTATATTACATGTTCCTCTGAAAGGATTGTTATTATTCTTCTAGACTGTCTACACAATTATTTGTTCTTAAGCAGCATGTTCCAAAAACTCAGTAGCATCTAGCAAACACTTTGTTTTACAAACAACGGCTTTCAGGATAATCACAAATTCCAATCTTGACCTCTCTCATTTCACAGGCTGCAGATCAGATTCAGAGTGCCCACCGACCCAAGCTTGCGTCAACAAAGAATGCACCGACCCTTGCAGTTTCACCTCGTGCGGCCTCAACGCCTTGTGCCGAGCAGACTCCAACCACAGAGCTCGATGTTACTGCCCAGACAGCTTCAGAGGCGATCCCTTGGTCCGATGCGAACGACCTGAATGCACCAAGGACGACGATTGCCCTTACAGCCTAGCGTGCAGAAACGAAAGATGCGAAGACCCCTGCAACTGCGGTTTGGGCGCCATCTGCAACGTGTTCAACCACAGACCTCAATGCTCTTGTCCAGCAGGATACGTCGGTAACCCGTTACAGTCTTGTAGACAGAAACCCGCCGAACTGGAACCTGAATGTAGGATGGACGCGGATTGTCCGAGCAAGAAGGCTTGCTTCGGTGGAGTGTGTAAGAACCCATGCGTGGAGACGAAGCCGTGTGGAAGGAACGCGGAATGTATCGTCGTGGATAGTCTGCCGTTGAGAACTATGTCTTGCATGTGCCTGCCTGGGTACATTGGAGATGCAGATACTGAGTGCAGACGTGGTAAGTTACCAAGTAGTTTAATACGTATATTCTTTTGTAATTTGTCAATTGTTGGTGGTATTTGAGAAGAACACTTTGACATCACACATTTGATGACATATACAGTGATGGACAAAAGTATATAGACAAATTAATATCGTGGTTTATTTCTTTTTTAACTTGTTTTATTAATACACCAACCTGTATACATAATTCGTTATAGCATAATACTCACTTATACATGAATAAATTCATTGGACTCCCTTCAATAAAAAATTAATTGAAAAAACTGGAACTATGAAGCACAAAAATATATAGACAAAGCAAAACAATTATAGAAAAAAGAAGCAAAGTCCATTGAATTATAGAAAACCAACTATGTTTGTGTTAATATTTTGTAGCATAACCATTATCATCAATCACCGCCTGGCATCGTCTCGGCACAGATTGTAGAAGTTTCTTGATATAAGATTCATCAATCTGTCTCCACGTTTGCTCTAAAGCGGCAAAAAGTTCATCCTTGTTTGAATAATTTTTATCTCGTATTTGCTTAACTAAGTATTCCCATAGATTTTCAATGGGGTTTATATCGGGAGACTGTGAAGGCCATTTGAGAACTGGTATTTTTTCATCCAGAAAGAATTTCTTTGCGAGATTTGAAGTGTGCTTTGGGTCATTATCTTGCTGGAGATTGATCTTAAGGGCATATTTTCTTCCATATAGGGTAACATGACATATCTTATTATGTCTGTGTGTATACTTTATCTGAAGTCACTTGAAACACTGTGAAATACCGGGTGCGTTTTATATATCTATACGTATATTTAACACGCTCTGTTGCTGCAAAAATCGCCAAATTTCGCAGCAAATATCCCCCGTATAAGATCAAAGGCAGTTTCACCGGTCCACGTGGAGTAAAGCACGCCTATGCGTGGACATAGCCAATGAGAAAGCGTGTATTTCAGAGCTCCGAACAAGTGCAGGTGGCTACTGAAAATTGAAACAGTTTAGCCAGTGCCGTGTAGCGGTGAATAAACGTGTTTTCTTTAGTCTGTCCGTGTTTTTTCATAGATTTTATTAGTTTGTGTGTTTTTGACTTTTGAATACTCGGTTTACTTGTTGATTTAATTGTTGTGTTGATTGTTCTTGTGTGTCCTAAATATGGCTCTTTGGAGACCTTGGGAAAATGCTCCAAGCCACGAGGAGATGGTTGATGAACCTGTGCAGGCAGAATTCTTTCATAAAGATTTAGAGGAACAGACCCAAAGAGTAATCCTAAATATGTATGATTGTCTGAAAAACGAAAATCCAGATTCCTCGCAAAATCAAATTTTAAACAGAATTTGTATCCTGACAAAAATCAGTCGGTCTACCATTTATCGGGTTATAAAAAGGGGAGATGTAGTCAACCATTCCTTCCACAGAAAGCGCATAGGGCAAAAATTAAAAAGAATAGACTTGGGTTTTCAGGAAGATATTCGTCGTATAATATACGGATTTTATAACGAAAATTTGGTGCCCACGTTGGAAATGATACGGGATAAATTAAAAGATTATCCTGAAGATTTTTATAATTACAAATGCTTAGACTCACTGCACTGTATTGTAAAACTGTGTGGTTTTCAATACAAAAAATTAGATAAAAGAATGGTGATTATGGAGTCGTCTCGAATCGTTGAATTGCGCCAAGAATTTTTGCACAAAGTTAAAATCTATAGAGAGCAGAAAAGAAATCTGATTTACCTGGATGAAACGTGGTATGATACCCATGATGTTGTGCAGTACGGCTGGGTTGACGACAGCAACAAGTGCATTTTAAATGCACCATGCAACCGTGGAAAACGAATCATTATTCTCCATGCTGGCAGTGAAAATGGATTTATACCTAATGCCTTGCTGTTATCTGCCAAAAATATCAAAGAATCATGTGCCGACTATCATGAGGACATGACCTCCGACTTATTTGAAAAGTGGATAGAGCAGCAGTTAATACCAAACATTTCCCCAAATTCAGTGATTATTATGGACAATGCGCCATACCATTCCCGACAGAAAAACAAAATTCCGAATACAGGCACAAAAAAACAAGACATTATTGATTTTATGAAGGATAAGGGAATGGAAATACCACAAAAATCAACCAAAGCCATATTATTGGATCTTATTAAAAGACAAAAATTTGAAAAAGAGTATGTTGTTGACAATATGCTTCAGCAAAATGGCCATATAGTATTACGTCTACCTCCCTATTACTGCATTTTTAACCCGATTGAGTTGGTCTGGGCTGCTTTAAAAAAAAGTAAGAAAACATAATCAGACCCCTCAATTAAGTGAATCGCTATTGGCCACAATAAGAGATGCAGTATCTCATATTGCTGCCACAGACCTATGGAAGCATATTATTGAAAAAGAAAATGAATATTGTGTTTTGCCTCTTGTAAATCCCGTTGTAATTCCTCTACAAGATGACTCTAGCGACAGCTCCGAAGGCGAGGATGATATATAAATACCTATAATGTAAGTCTTTATATACCTTTTTATATACCTACCTGCTATGTAAATATTTGCGTATGTCAAACGTTGGAATTCTGTAATTTCTTAACTTTCAGTCAACATAAATTAAACTCCCAATATAAGTATTTTTTATCCCAAATCAAAAAAAAAGAAGATAGTAAAATTCATTTATTGTGATATAAAAACATTATTATTATCGTTCTAAATAAATGACCGCACGCCTATGATACGTCATGAAATTACAAAGGACGCGCCGACCAAAGGTTTTTATGCTATTTCAAGTGACTTCAGATAAAGTATACAACCTTATCCATAATGCCATATATTCTATGTAAAGGTCCTATCCCAAACCCCGAAAAGCAACTCCAAACCATAACAGACCCGCCTCCATGTTTGACAGTGGGCAAAGTGTACTTAGGGTTCAATCTTTGTCCACTAGGACCTCTAACGGAATGAACACCATCTGATCCAAACATATTGAACTTGGATTCGTCATTGAAACATACACTCTTCCAGTCACAGATGCTCCAATCAAGATGCAACCGTGCAAATTGTAATCGGTCCCTACGGCTTTTCCTCGAGATTAGCGGTTTCTTACAAGGGCGACGTACAAATAACTTCAAATCATTTAATCTTCTACTTATAGTTTTGGTAGAAACACTGACAATTTCCTTTGTCTCGATTTCGGCTTTTATTTATCTTGGGGCAATGTCGACTTGACGTTAACCATCTTTGTATAACTCAATGATCTTAGTTTTCACATCGAAAGAAACTTCTGGACCACGCGGCATGGTCTTAAAATCACTCAACTTATTCCACAATACTTGACGAACACAAACTAAACCTCTTCTGAAACGAAACTGTACTAAACTAATGTTGAAAAGAATTTGTCCCTCATAAAAAAGTGCTTATATTCAGACATTGCAGATAATGTAAAAACACGGAATTTAGTTTTTCAACTAATAACGCATTTGTTTATGGAGCAATGAAGTACGAATTCGTTTTATCAATGTATTTAGGTAAATATTCATATTTGTCTATATACTTTTGCCCATTACTGTAAATGTAAGAACTGTTCCACCATATTCGGTATCGTTCTGCATTTCGTCTGCAACCAATGTTGGAATCGTTCTCGAATGGTTCTGTTACAGTGTACTTGGTACCTGCAGTAGCAGGAGAATCAAACGAACTGACCTGCGTAGCAGAACTGTTATCTCTAACCTCCAACCAAACTGTAACCGTGCTCTGTTAGCACGTGTATTTTCTATTCAAAGATAAATTATTGGTATTGTCCAGATTTCGTTGCGATGAGTACTGACGAAGGGGCTATCTGTCTCTGCCTAGCTACTAAAACGATTCCAAAATCGTTCCAAGCATCTTCTAGCCCAAAAACGATAAATTCTGGAATCATAACCAGTCAGCGCATGCGTATAAGAGCGTGCCAAATGATAACCGGATAGTTCTGGTACGATACCAAGACTCAAGGTTGGAACAAATCTTATGACGTCTTCAAAACGTATCAACGCTTTGATTTAGTTTTTACCAAAATTGTAGGCATAAAACCAGGTTGTTACTATTTTTAGTTAACTTCATATTGACACATTTTTTCAAGTACCAACTCCATTTTTTTATTGGATTGTCCACTTTTTTGAATGAAGCATCTTAAAATTTACAATCAATCAAGATGACGATTACACGTAGGGTGGAACCAAGATGTTTTAATTTTGAAATCGGTAGCAATGTTCTTTGTCGTGTTAATATCGTCAAGGATTTGGGAGTATTATTCGATCAAAAGCTTTCTTTTATTGATCACATTAATGCAATAATAGCAAAAGCATTTAAAAATCTAGGATTTGTTATAAGAAACAGTAGACATTTCAATAATAATAATACATTAATTTTACTTTTTAATGCTTTTGTCAGATCTATTTTAGAATACTGTTCGATTATCTGGTACCCGGCCTATGATATACACTGTAGAAACATCGAGAGAATCCAACGTCGTTTTGTGAAATACTTATGGTTTAAAGATGATAGAGCGTACCCTGAAAGAGGTATACGCAATGACATTCTCTTAAGTAGGCATAATTTATCTAATTTAGTCAAACGTAGGAATCTGTTAGCTGCTAAATTTTTATGTAATTTGTTGAATGGAACAATTGATTGCCCTTTTCTTTTAGACAGGATCTCTCTACGCGTTCCCGATTTGCGTACTCGTCATGGTGGTAACAATTCATTTTATTTACCTGTTCCGCGGACAAATTTATTGTTATTTTCTCCTCTTTATGTTATGTGTAATGTCTGTGACAGTGTAAGTGAACTTGATACGTTTAGTACCTCCAAAATCAATCTCAAGAGTTTATTTTTAACAATTGGATAATTTATGTTTATGTTTATACTGCTTACATTTTTGTTTTTGTATCACTTTTTGTTTTTTCCCTGCCTGTTAATTGGAACACTCTGTTCAGGCAGTGTATGGATTATAAATAAATAAATAAAAAAATAAATCACTGCGATATATTAAAATGTATTATTTTTCAGTTTCAGGTTGACTCCGTTTATCTGAGCATCAATATAATTTTGTACATATATATTTTATATAGATACACAGTTGTAAATACTTCTGCACTACACGTGCATTTTTTCATTCTCTCTTCAAAAAAGCCATTTCTCTTCCAATCTATCGTCTCACTTATTCAAACCAAAAGTCATTCAGTACATCACATTTTTTCCTTCCTCTCCTTAGTCACATTTTCATATCTTTTCAGGCTGTCGTATTCATCTCGTTGCAAGGCTATTGTAATGTCTTTTCTTTGGTTATGTCTTCCAGAATCTAGCTATTGGTTGTTTCAAAACCGCCCAATAATGTATATACCTACACAATGCCATACTACACTCACATCTATTCACATAACGAACTATATAGCGAGATTCTGGTTAATTTAATTAATTTTGAATTTTATGCATCTTTCTGGTGTCTTGCATTGAGACTTTTTATGTTGAAATCTATGCCGTTATGACAGAGATGTAATCTTATGTACAACGACTGCGTTGAGCCTTTTCTGAACTATATACAGGGTGTATATGTGTGTATATTTTATGTATGTGAAAATTATAGGTCTTTGAAAAAAATATAGAAATTTCACACCCTGCGGCAGTCTGTCAACTCCTGTTACTACAAATATTAACTTTTTTTGGATTTTATTTTTACAATGTAATGATGAATAATTAATCTTCAAACTGGTGTCTCAACCTTACTGCCAACTTTTCTCGTTCAGGAAAAATTGCCACTTATTTCCCAACCAATTATTCCAAAGTAAAACTTTGCTCAACTTTAACTGGCTGTACTGGAAAAAATGTACTACGAGAGTTTGGCAAGTAACTTTAAAAGTTGGCGCATTTAATAACGATTCCAAAATGGTATAACACTTAGAAGATTACTCGTTAACTTATGCACAATTTTTATTTGAAGAAAAACTGATCAAAATTTTTCAAAATTTCCTAATTAAACAGCGATTATGAAAACGCACAAGGACCCTTAAGGATAACTGTTTGCACAACAGTGGGCGTCAAAATGCTGCTGATGATGATTTACCTTTACAGCAAATGCGCAAACTGTTTTCCTTCAGCCGCAATACACGCTCGACATCTTCTTAAAAAAGATCGGGTTATTAAACGAGCGAATCCACGGTTATTAACAAACTCAGCTGCTTCCAATAGTCTTTGCCGTAGATCAGCTACATTTTGAATCGGCTTGAAATACACTTTTTCTTTTACAGTTCCGCAGTAAAAAAAATCTAACGGATGCAAATCTGGTGACCGGGCTGGTCACGGTATTGTACCAGACCGCCCTATCCATCTGCCTGGAAAGTTTTGATCGAGATACTCTCTCACTGAGAGTGCATAGTGTGCTGGGCAGCCATCATGCTGAAACCACATGTCCCTGTAAATACTCAGTGGCACGTCCTCCAATAAATTTTCTAAATGATTTTGCAAAAAACCTAAATAAACCTCAGCAGTCAAAGTCTCTGGGAACTCAAACGGACCGATTATTTTACCATTTAAAATTCCTGTCCAATGGTTTATCTTGTAGCGATATTGAGATTTATCTTCTCTCACCAAATGTGGGTTTGCTACGTGCCACTCGTGTAAGTTTTGCAGGTTCATGTACCCATCTTTATTAAATGTGGTCTCATCCGACCATACATTTTTTTCAAAGAACTGTGGATATTTCCGGTGTCTTTCTAACATTGTGCGACAAAAAGCAACTCGGGGCTCATAATCCCGGGGCAGGAGAGGTTGAACACGCTGTATGTGGTATGGATGAAGCACATCACTTACTTGCTATTTCTCACTTTGATACCGATCAGTACTGGACTGTTGATCGCTTGTGATTTGGATTTGGGCTGTTTAATTGCTCTTCAAAACAACATTTGCTTTCCTTAGACTATCTTTGATAGTGTGATTGTGCAGTGCCGCTATGTCCGTGTACCCCGTACAAGAATATGCTAACATGCACCTCATTTATGGGGAATGCAGATGCAACGCTAGTGCTGCAGCGAGACTTTACTGTGAGAGGTACCCGAATGCAGCTCGTCATCCAGATCATCGAGTGTTCACAAATGTGCACCGCTTACTGTTCTCAGAGGGCCAACTACCAAACCAATCACACGGTGAGGGAAGATCTTTCCTTCCTTACGAAGACGTGGTGCTAGGAGCTGTCGGAAAAGACCCGAGTACTTCAGTGCGTGCAATAGAACTAAAAACAGGTGTGCCCAAAGAATCTTGCAAAAAAACGTGCTCCATCAATACCACGTACAGCGTGTTCAAGCTCTCCTGCCCCGGGATTATGAGCCCCGAGTTGCTTTTTGTCGCACAATGTTAGAAAGACACAGGAAAGATCCACAGTTCTTTGAAAAAATTTTATGGTCAGATGAGACCACATTTAAGAAAGATGGGTACATGAACCTGCATTAAATGGTAAAATAAATAATCGGTCCGTTTGAGTTCCCAGAGACTTTGACTGCTGAAGCTTATTTGGATTTTTTGAAAAATCATGTACAAAATTTATTGGTGGACGTGCCACTGAGTATTTACAGGGACATGTGGTTTCAGCATGATGGCTGCCCAGCGCACTATGCACTCTCAGTGAGAGAGTATCTCGATCAAAACTTTCCAGGCAGATGGATAGGGCGGTCTGGTACAATACCGTGGCCAGCCGGATTTGAATCCTTTAGATTTTTTTACTGGGGAACTGTAAAAGAAAAAGTGTATTTCAAGCCGATTCAAAATGTAGCTGAGCTACGGCAAAGACTATTGGAAGCAGCTGAGTTTGTTAATAACCGTGGATTCGCTCGTTTAATAACCCGATCTTTTTTAAGAAGATGTCGAGCGTGTATTGCGGCTGAAGGAAAACAGCTTGAGCATTTGCTGTAAAGGTAAATCATCATCAGCAGCGTTTTGACGCCCACTGTTGTGCAAACAGTTATCCTTAAAGGTCCTTGTGCGTTTTCATAATCGCTGTTTAATTAGGAAATTTTGAAAAATTTTCATCAGTTTTTTTCAAATAAAAATTGTGCATAAGTTAACGAGTAATCTTCTAAGTGTTATACCATTTTGGAATCCTTATTAAATGCGCCAACTTTTAAGGTTACTTGCCAAACTCTCGTAGTACATTTTTTTCCAGTACAGCCAGTTAAAGTTGAGCAAAGTTTTACTTTGGAATAATTGGTTGGGAAATAAGTGGCAATTTTTCCTGAACGAGAAAAGTTGGCAGTAAGGTTGAAACACCAGTTTGAAGATGCATTATTCATCATTACATTGTAAAAATAAAATCCAAAAAAAGTTAATATTTGTAGTAACAGGAGTTGACAGACTGCCGTAGGGTGTGAAATTTCTATATCTTTTTCAAAGACCTATAATTTTCAAAACACATACATAAAATTTTTTAAATATTTTTCTGATAGCTGTTATGACTTTGCCTATCACCCGGTTTCGGCTTGACGTCGACTTCTGGGACACCCTGTATAACTAAGGTAAAAATGGCATAACAGCTACTTGTTTTGTTGCAGATACAATAGTGTTATTATTTTTATATTTTCTGTTAGTTGCTCGTGTGCTAATTGAGTCAGTACCGACGCATAAAAATTGATATTTCACGCTTTGAAAAAGGCTCGACATTTTGTTATCACATTACGTACTTTCTGACTTTGACTCTTTTCTGTAGCTCCTCACGAAGAACCTGGATGTAAGAGCAATTCTGACTGTGGTTCGACCGAAACCTGCCTGAACCGTCTTTGTATCAACCCGTGTGTGATAGGACATCCATGCGATACCAGTGCTTTGTGTACTCCTCAGAATCACAAAGCTGCCTGCAGGTGTCCTCCTGGACTCGTTGGTGATCCTTTCGTCAGGTAAATTCTTACTGTTTAATTTCTAAATACTTTTATCGTTAAAAACACAACAGCATTAACTCTAGACTGCCATTCAACCAGAAAGCAAAACCAAATCAGAATCACGGAAAGCTGGATTAACTCAGCACTCAGCAGTCTCAAATACTGATTATTTTTTCTTTGCAGATGTTACGAGCAACCAAAAACCAAACCAGAGTGTACCAGTGATTCCGAATGTTCCAACGACAAATCTTGTATCAACCAACGCTGCCAAAATCCATGCGCCTTGTCTAATCCATGTGGTACCAACGCTGAGTGTAGGACCAGTTTCCACCGACCGACATGTTTGTGTCCAAGCGGATGGGTTGGAAATCCACAAGTTATCTGCTACAAACGTAAGTTTATAATATAATTGAGAATTTTCTGATTACGCCAATTCACGATTTATATATAGATATATAAATAATCTCACATACGACTGTAAGTTAATTTATAATCATTTTGCACAATAATTTCTTCTCAATGTTATTGCAGCTCCTGATGAAGATGGCAGTCCATTGAAAGCTAGGGATAGTAAAGTATAAAGGGTCCTTTTTGCTCTTGAATTTTGTCGAAGTCCCCAACAAAAGACGGTAGCTTTATTTTTCACCTAACTGGTCTAAACGACAATGACCACGTCTCAAGATATATATATATATATATATATATATATATATATATATTTTTTTTTTTTCAGACGTGGTCATTGTCGTCTAGACCAGTTAGGTAAAAAATTAAAGCTTCCGCGTTTTGTTGGGTACTTCGACAAAATTTAAGCAAAAAGGACTCTTTATACTTTTTTAATTCTCTCTAGCTTTCAATGGACTTTGCCATCATCATCAGGAGCTGCAATTACAATGATAACAGTAGCAACTAGTTAGTTGCAACTAGTTAGTTGCTACTGTTATCATTGTAATTGCAGCTCCTGATGATGATGGCAAAGTCCATTGAAAGCTAGAGAGAATTAAAAAAGTATAAAGAGTCCTCTTTGCTTAAATTTTGTCGAAGTACCCAACAAAAGGCGGAAGCTTTAATTTTTTATATATATATATATATTTCTTGGTATACGATATTACTAAGAAACTACCTACATATATGTAGGGATGGACGGGGATTTTCATCCTTTGACTCTTCCTTTTATCTTCCAGCCGAATGTAAATCGGACTCGGATTGTCCATATGACAAATCGTGCATAAACGAGAACTGCCTGAACCCGTGCACCCGTCAATCCTGCGGCCGAGGAGCCGAGTGCGTCGTACGCAATCACCATGCGCAGTGCCAGTGTCCTGCAGGAACGCAGGGAGACGCTCTGTTATCCTGTATCACCGGAATCTGCCACTACAACGAAGACTGCGCTGATCACGAGGCATGCGATAGGTTGAACAGAGTTTGCAGACCGGTAAGCACATTATTTGACGATATTCACCTATTTCAAAGAATTCTAAATTAGCTGCTCCAGAATTTACTATAGTATAAGCTAATACGACAACATTCTTTGCACGTTATTGCAATGTTAGTTGATCTGACACTAAACACTTCAGTGTCTATTAGGAGACAAATGAAACCTTTACTTAATGTGGACTACGACTAGTAGGGTACAAATTCAAGTACGCCATATTTTACGGAAAATCTTTTGCAGGTTTGCGACACCGACACATGTGCCAACACCGCCCAATGCGTAGGCAGGAACCACCAGCCGATCTGCGAATGTCCACCTGGAACCAGAGGCAACCCATACGTCGAATGCGGCGTCGAGAAGGTCGTACCCCAGTGCATCACCGACTCGGAATGCCCCAGTAGACTGGCCTGTATCAACGAACATTGCATCAACCCTTGCACGGCTGACAACATGTGTTCTCCAGACCAAACGTGCAGCGTATTGGACACGACTCCGCTAAGAACCATCATGTGCCAATGTCCACCGGACACTTTGGTGGATGTCTCGGGTCGCTGTGTGCCTATCGTTGTCGTGAAACCGCAATGTCAGATAGATTCGGATTGTTCAGACAGGTTAGTGATGACAGATTTCAAATTATATTACTTGCTGAGGATGAGCTAGCCCTGACAGGGTGCGCCCAATCACCTTATAGTGACGAGGAAATGCATCAAATACTCCATAAGAAATTGGATCAAAAAAAGTTACTAGGGTGGTGGAACAGCCAATTGAGGCAAAGGCAGGCTAAATAGTTCATCAAAGAACGAAGGCCCATATTCACAGAGGACATACTCGCATTCATTAGCTCTTGGGTTTGGCAGAAGGGCAATATACCGTTCCTGGAGGAAGCATGAGAAAACCCTCTCCTGACACTGCGAAGTTCTGGCAAGGCTACGATTTTGGATAGTAGGAATCACAAATCCAATAGCGGAAAGCCCTGTGTCTGAGTCTGGTTACAGGATCAAGGCTGGTCACATGAATATTTTGTTGTTAGAATTGTGCAATTTACAGACTCTTGGTATAAATGGGGTGCTAATGGTACATCGCATGGTACTGCAAATGTTGGCGTTGGTCCTGTTAATGACAATGTGCACGAAAAATAACTGTTTGGAACAATTTAATTCCAAGAAGTCAGAGACCTGAGATCACCTTCTGACGATAGTAATCAAAAGTGCTACTAAAATATGAAACCCTGTCAGTATAAAGTGTAACGCTGATTCCAGGTTTCCCTTTTTGTAAAGCCAAGTTGGGCTTTCAGGCGGTTTGAATTGGAAATAGAAACACTATAGAATAATATAGTAAGAGTAGATTTCACCACCAGTAAAATTTGACGGTTCCTTGGACCAGTGACGGAAGACCTTATTGAAATCCAACTTAATGCAAGCTGTAAAAGGTCTCTGAATATTAGTCACTTCTAAATTTCGAATAAAATCGTAAAGAAGTATTTTTTGATAAATAGCGGTACATTATGGATGTGCTACCATGTCTTTGAGCTTTGCAATTATTGTAACTTTCACAGAATTGCCAATTTCTATTTCGCAAAAGACAATTGACCAATCAGAATACGAGAAGTAATAGGTAAATATTCTCGCTATTATATTAAGTAGGATGTTTTAACTGTTTTCGATTAGTGTCAGAACGCGTGGTTTTTTTCACAGTTTTTGGCGGGTCACAGTAAAACTATTGATATCACTTTCATATTTGTACATTCCTCAAAATATTCAATTTGTTTGTTTGTCTCTCGCACATCTATGCTTGTTCAGTCTCAAAGTTACAGCCCTTGAATGAATGACCTTACTTTTTGTTGATCACCGCAATTTAAAGCATAGTAGACAATATCAACAGTGCTGCTAAACTTAAGATGGTATTTTAGAAAATAAATGAAAACAACGGTATAAAATGCATATGTGTAAGGGCAACTGCGATGGAGACCGGCTTGCGCGGTGTGATCTCTCAGCGAAGTTAGGTTCCGCACAAGATACAATTAGTCGATCTGTTTATTAATTTCGTATGACGCTGACGTATTATTTACAGGGAGAAATGCGTCCGTGGCAGTTGCGTGGAAGCATGCCGAGTCGACAGATGCGGCGTCAACGCCCTCTGCAACTCCTTCCACCACCAAGCTGTCTGCACGTGCGCAGCAGGCTACACCGGAAATCCCCACATCGAATGCGCCAACATCCCTAAGACGCCTGTGGTCATCACACCTCCGGAATGCTACACCGACAGCGACTGCGGTTATGACAGGACCTGTCACAATGAGATGTGCGTCAATCCGTGCGTGTTGGAGAAGTCTTGCGGCGTCGGAGCTTTCTGCTCGGCCAACGATCATAGAGCTGTGTGTAGGTGTCCGCCTGGATTTGAAGGAGATGCTCGTGTTGAATGCGTTGCACGTAAGTAACGAACTTTTTGTTTGAATAGCGATTTGCGTATAAAGTAATACAAAAACAGGCAATGCTGACTTCCAAGTATTGCAAACTCACAACGAATAGTACTAGATTGTCATTTGGTGCTTGTAAGAGCATCTACACTGTGGCTGGGTGCAGAGGCACTCACAGTTCAACAGAAATATCTGACACACATTATCACTGTCACTTTTTTTATCTGTGCTGTAGATAAAGTCATCGAGGTAGCCGAAACATTAGTGAAAATTCAAGCATAAATTTGCGGCACGAAAGCATGCAATAGCAGCCAATCTACTGCCAAAAAAAGGATGCTAAAACCAGAATCCAGTATCCCTTTGTATCTTGCCAATCGAAGGCATGGCACAAGATTACGTGTCTCATCGATCCTTTTCTAACCTCCTATCTAGAACGTTACATAATGCCAAACATGCTTATGAGCGAAAACTCGTTACCTCCAAAAATAAGAAGAAGCTGTTTCGGTATCTAAGAACAAACCTGAATTCCAAAGTTTCATCACCTCAGATCCGCGACGCTGACGGTCATCTCCACATGGATGCCACCGAATCTGCCAACTTACTGGCAGAGTCCTTTAGTGATGACTTCGTCGATGAGCCTAATGGAGACCTTCTACCGACCACTATCTGCCATAGGTGTCCCAACAGCCTTTGCGAAGTTGAGTTCCTGCCTGAAGATGTATTAATGCACCTGCGAAATCTGAAGACCTCTTCCTCCCCTGGTAAAGATGGGATGACGGCTGCTGTACTTAAAAACTGCGCTTCAGCACTGGGCCTACCATTAAGCTTGATATTCTCATCGTCTTTTAGATCTCATACCCTACCCTCATGCTGGCTTAGTGCTTCTGTTACCCCTGTATTCAAAAAGGGCGACAAATCCTCCGCTAAAAATTATCGACCAATAAGTCTCGTTCCTATCGCCGCCAAAATAGCTGAAAGAATCATATTAGATAAGCTCCTGCCATTTACTTTCGAAAATGACGTTATCCCTAAGAATCAGCATGGATTTCTCCCTGGTCGATCAATAATGACCAACCTTCTCCACTCTCTCAACGATTGGACTCAGTATCTGGACACAAAGACTCCTGTTGATATAATCTACTTAGATTTTTCTAGGGCTTTCGATCGCGTACCACATAGAAGGCTTCTGTTTAAGTTGGAATGTATGGGAATAACAGGCGAGTTGTTACTGTGGATTAAGGCTTTTCTCACCGGGAGGACTTTCTCTGTGCGCGTCAGTGATAGCCAGTCTCACCTTCATCATGTAGCAAGTGGAGTTCCTCAAGTCTCTGTCTTGGGGCCAGTGCTGTTCCTTCTGTATACAAGTGACCTGCCCGCATTGATTTCCTCCACATGTTCAGCTTATGCCGACGACACCAAGATTTACAATACTGTCGTAAATTCTGCTATGCTTCAACGAGATCTTGATATTGTTTGTCAATGGTCAGTCAGTTGGCTTTTACCCTTAAATCTAACTAAGTGTTGTGTCCTTCACCTCGGGAAGACAAATCCGCGATTTACATACAAGATCTCTGACCACAACATCGAAGCAGTTTCCAGCCACACTGATCTGGGTGTTGTAGTCAACGATCGTCTTTCCTGGTCAGAGCATATTCACCACGTTACATCAAAAGCCAAGAAACTTCTATACATGCTGGAGGGGTTTTTCAAAGGATCCGATGTCAACACTTGCGCCTACATTTACAAGACATTCGTGAGGCCAATTCTTGAATTCGCTGGCCCGGTATGGGACAATGTGCTTCTGCGCGATAGAAATCTCGTCGAATCAGTACAGCGTCGGGCTACTCGTATCCCTTTTGGAGCACGAAGACCAAGCTATGAAGATCGCCTTGAATTATTCAACCTGACCTCATTCTCTGAGCGAAGACTTCGTGGCGATCTTATAGTTACGTTCAGGATACTTCATGGTTTGATGGGCACCAACCTCATGCATCTATACCGTCTGTCGCGCAGCAATCTACGCGGACACAGCTTCAAACTGCATAAGGAGCCATTTAAAACAACAGTCCGACAGTGGTTTCTTCCCAACCGCATATTCAACACCTGGAATAGTTTACCTGAAAGTGTGGTTGGTGCTACTTCAGTTAATAGCTTCAAAGTGCAGTATGATAGCTGGAGGAGTGTACAAACTTTATAGCTATGAACTGTCTTTTTTTTATTTTTTTCTATTTGATGTATTTGTGTTACGTGTCCGTACACTATATTTACTGCATGAGTTTATAGTACTGTGTACTCTGCTCATCTCAATTATCATAATAATAATAATAATAATAATAATAATAATTATGTAAAAGGGTCAACTCACAAAAATATGGGATACGTCTGACTGCTTGTTCACAAAATAATCTCAAAGACGTCCTAGTGATGCAGCAAAAACAGATTCGGTAGTGACTGGCATTGTAACTTAAGGAAGCATCTATATAATAAGTCTCAAAGATCATTTTTCCAATAAATATCTGTACCAGTATCTGATGACTCTGCCCAGGATAGCTATTGAGGAGGGGTTGAAGATAATATTAGAAACTTTCCTGAATATAAAGGGGCAAAATAATTAAACATTCATACAAATAATAAAACAAGTTTGGTCTCGAAAAGGCTCTCTAATGTGAAACGTATTTACAGGTCATTTATGGCGCATCTGATTTAGATAAACCAATATTTGTTTAACTATTCAAAAAATTTGAATGCAACAAATACTACAAGAAAAACACCTCTTATACCATCTTACTGTCCGGATTGAAAATGCGATCACTTGACATCTCTTACAGCTGTTGGTGTAACCGTTGGATGCACGTCAAACTCCGAATGTCCGAAGAGTGAATCGTGCATCAACAGAATTTGCGTGAGTCCATGCAACTGCGGATCCAACGCGGACTGCAGAGTGGTCAATCACTACCCTACGTGCTTCTGTCGCCCTGGATATTCTGGAAACCCGCAAATTGGATGCGTGAAACGTAAGTATAAACTCTCAGTTTTCGGCAAAATATTCAAACCGCTGTTATAATTTAATGCTCTATCTATACCAGATGAAATACTTGAAGCGCCTTCAATCGAAATTGATATTTTTTTAGGGGGTAATAGGAGAATTTTGAATAATATTGTACCGGTTTTTGTATCATTATTATGTGGTAAATTGTACCCGTTCAAAAGCTCATTATTCAAAACTCTCAGTATTTACATTAGTTTCTCAAAGTGAATTTTGGTAGAAAGGCGTAAAATAATCTTACTTTAAGGTATAATTCAATTCAAGTAAGTCATTGACGAGTTATTTCATAAAATACGCCAAATAATACGCTATAATTTATCCATCTTAACCCTATTTGTACATTGTATTAGAACGTTTTGTTATAATTCTGGTCGATCAGTCTGTTCTTCAGCAAACCTAATTTCTTCAATGTTCAACTGTTTTTCAGTGGGATGCCAATCGGACAACGAATGTGACTCAGACAAGCAATGTTACAATGGCCAGTGTTTGAATCCATGCATACTCGGAGATCCTTGCGCCATGAATGCAGAGTGTTACGGACAAAACCATCGAGCCGCGTGCAGGTAAATGACTAGTACTTAAATTAAATCTCAAATATATTTCTTGAGTCCACGCAGTTCATTGTCCTGTTCAAACTTAGTTGCAATTGGAATCAAATCATCAACAAGGCTAAGATGACATTATGAAACACCCTAAAAGCGGCAACGAGTCGTTGGTAAAATGTATAAGACTGTCGGTGTCGGAATAAATTAAAATGCATGTCCAATTTTTTTTTGTTTGAATTCCATGCCATAAATCGTCCCTTTGAGTGTACTGGGGCAGGAATTACACGGAATTTATTTCTTACTAACAATAATGTTTTTATATAAATGTATCTGTTTTCCAGGTGTCCACCAGGCCTAGAAGGCAACCCATTCGAACGCTGCGAACGCGTAGAGTGCCACACGGACAGCGAATGCCCCAACAACCGAGCTTGTATCCAGCAACGTTGCGTCGACCCCTGCTCCAGCATCGCCAACCCTGCGTGTGCACGTAACGCCATCTGCTACGCCCAAAACCATGCCGCAGGCTGTATTTGTCCACCCCATCTACCTGAAGGCAACCCAATATCTTTCTGCACGGCTCCCAGCAGGGAGGCCGGAAGACCGCAATGCGAGCATGATGGAGAGTGCCCGAGCAAGTTGGCTTGTATACAGAACCAATGCGTGAATCCGTGCGAGAAGCTATCGCCGTGTCATCATTCGGCGCATTGTACCGTCGAAGATACTCTACCGGTAAGTATAGGATGATGATAAAGCAGTAGTTGTAGCCCATCACTGTTTTGGCTAACGATGATTACGACAGTGGATTTCAAGTGCTTGATGGAGAAAAAATATTCCACTTGCATATTGTTTGCCGCTGAATTGTGGTTCATATAAATAAATGAATAGCGTTTATTGCCCAACAGTTAAGGAAACCATTTACAGAACAATCCCAAGATAAATCAAAATAACAAGAACAAAAAACATATAAAAAGCAGATGATTTCATCTAAAGAAAAATACAAACTAGAAAAAGAAGCAAAAAAATATATTTCACTCAGGGGAGTAACATATCATATATTATCCAAGCAATAAGCTATGAGAAGCATTTTAAATAAAAACAAATACGCTAGGATCAAGTCTATGTTAGAAGAACTGCAGCAGTTCTCGTTTTCATATTCAAATTAAAAAATCATTTATTACCATCACATTGAGAGAACTTCACAAAATTAAATAGTCATTATCATAACTACGAAACTAGAGGCAGTATAGATTTTCATATGCAAAATTGTAATAGTAGCATAAATAGATTAAATAATGATATTAAACAGAGTTCGAATTTAAAAATGTTTAAGGTGAAATTAAAGAACCACTTTATGAATAATCAAAATGCATAGTGCCGTAATTTCAATTTTAATTTTAATAGACTAGAATGTAAAATTACAGAAAATGGATTGAAGATAAATATGTAACCGAATCATTATACAAAATTGACATTGTAGCATTAACGCTAAATAAATCTTCAATAACAACAACAATGTCAGTATATAAAATAACAAGCTAAACAATTATCGTATGACTTCCAAGTCAGTTTTACTGTTAATCTCTAGTAATTATCAGTATTTAGCTTCAACTGCAACGTTTTACCTACTGATTTGCATACTGTCTATCTAAAATTTATTTCGCTGGAATACATTATTACAAAAACGTGTTTTACCTTTTCAGGTTCGAACCATGATTTGCACCTGCCCCGAAGGCTGGGTGCCGAACGAAAATGGCGAATGTCACGCAGTGATCGTCCCCATACCACCAGGCTGCACCTCAGACAACGACTGTCCAGGCGCTGAAGCTTGCATCAACCGACTGTGTCGCAACCCTTGCGATTGTGGCACCGACGCGGAGTGCTTCGTGAACAACCATCGCGCTATCTGCTCATGTAAGAAGGGATACGAGGGCAACCCGAACATCGCCTGTCAAGCTGTCGGATGTAGGATTGATTCAGAATGCGGATCCGGAAGGGCTTGCATCAATGGCAATTGTATCAACCCGTGCTTAGTGAAGGATCCTTGCGGTGTAAACGCAGAGTGCTTCGTGCATCAACATCATGCGGAGTGCAGGTGTACCAGCGGCTATCGGGGTAATCCGTTTGACAGGTACGTGGATTGTTTTCTTTGTATCCTCTGATGAATTTATTTGACTTGGATTCTAGCTTTACTGAACCATGTTCTGCCTTCTAGTCCCGTCTGAACTAAAACTTCTCTTAAATACTACTACCTGGGGATGATGTAACGTAATCTCCGGCGTATCGTTTCTTCCTCAAAATATTAGGAGGGCAAACATGAAATTCGGATGCTAAGCAACAAAAGTTCCTGTAGGACGTGTATGACCTGCAAGACAATCCAAAGATAAACTATGAAAGCTATAGTCTACAGTAAAGAGTTACCGTGGGCGCCACTGCAACGAATTTGAAATTATTGTAGCCCTACATACACAGTCTAGCACACTGTATCTAGTCTTGGTCCTTTAATCAGATTCCATAGCTTTGACTCAGGGATTTGCATGTAGATCGCCGCTATTGACTTCGTGAATATCTAAAGCCTCAGCCTTGCTGTACCTTTGTAGTGACACAGGAGGTGGACTGGGGCTTCTTCTTGTTCTCTGCCAGAACCGGCATGTGGCATCCTATGCTATGACTGCTAGAGAATATATCAAAACACATTTTCCCTTTTTGTCGCTCTTGGATTAAACCAAATCCAACATGTTAACATTGAACCAAATTATTGTCGAATCTCTCAGACCCTATGACAAATGTGACTGGCTGACTAGTCGGGTAAATGCATTTTAGACTTCTCCTGTGTCATACTCCATCATTACGAATAGCTTGGATCCAACGTCTCCTTACACGACGCGCTTCCTCAACGATGTTTTGTCTTCCCTATACCACTTGCAGCAGGTAGAGTCCTTCTCTATACCCATAAGGCACAGAGGTCTGTTTAGTCTGGTGTCTTGTGAGAAGCTCAACTATCATCATCAATTAAAAGGGTTTAGTATGAAGCAGCCAACAGCTATCTCCATTTGACTTCGTTGTCGCCTAATGCCTGTGATCCTGGTTATCACGGGTATGAATGACTAAATGAATGAAACGTGAAATTAGAGGCATACCGACCACCATAAGGAGTCAACGCATAGGCCACTTAGACGGGTCCTTGTGCACCTCTACATTCCTTAGACCTCAAGCCTCGCCATTCTAGCGAAGATGAGTATGACCTTGAGTCCAAGCACCTTGACGTCCTGGGGGTCCAAAGTGATGGACCCCAGTAGTCGTCTGCAGTAGCTAACAGCCTCACAGCGTGCGCGTAGGTCTCTTCCTCTACCCCGCAGCCATCACAAAAGAGATCCTCGGTCACCCCCATCACGTGCTGCTGGCACCTTAACGTGATAGGGCCAGCAACTTTATATTGGCTCTATCTAAAGATAAACAGAAACGTCCATCCTTAGCGCCGGGCCCTACGTTCAGCTGCCGTGCCTGACGGAGATGTCTGGAGATGCTTCTCCATCTCCATTCTTGCAATCCACTTCTTCATTTTCCTTCTAACTCTTTGCGCGGGCACCCCCGAAGCTGCGTCAGGACAAACGAGCTCGCTGGCTGATCCTGTATTCGCCAGAGCGTCCGCCGTCTCATTGCAGTCTCCATCAATATATCAGCAGCTAACGATTTGACTCACAACCCCTGCAGCTAGAACGCTCATCTAGCTCACGTTATCTTTGGAAACATGCTTCAAATATTCGATTAACAGAAATGTTTTGTTACAGATGTATAGTGGTGGGCTGCTACGCCAACAGTGACTGTCCCGGAGACCGACAATGCATCAACGCCCAATGTATCAACCCGTGCGTCTACGATAACCCATGCTCGCCACGTGCCGAGTGCCAAGTGCAAAACCACCTGGCTATGTGCAGATGTCCCATCGGATACATAGGCAACCCGTACGTCGATTGCAAACCTGAACCGCAACCTGAGTGCCGAGAAGATAGCGAGTGTCCAGCCAGGCTCGCCTGCCTGAACAACAAGTGCCAAGATCCGTGCGCCGTACTGGAACCATGTCAACGACCTGCAGAGTGCCAAGTGATCGGATCTGTACCTGTCAGGACTATGGTGTGTATCTGCCCACCAGGATACATCAGTAGCGGAAGCGGCACCTGCACGCCAGAACCTGCAGTGAAGGAGATCGGAGCTTGTATAAGTGATAGCGATTGTCCATCGGAGAAGGCTTGCTTCAACAGCATCTGCAAGAATCCTTGTAATTGCGGGCCGAATGCCGAGTGTCGTGTGAAGAACCATAAGCCTATCTGCACTTGCAGGTACGTTGATATTAAAACGTCAGTATTGATATATTTAACGGCATCTATAATATAGAATGCGTTTGTTGTGTAGTTTTATAGATAGCTGTTGCACTTGTTTTATTTTTTGGAATGTGTCCGAGAAGGTAACAACAAATTTTTCGTCTGCAGGCAAGGCTTCGATGGCAACCCAGAACTGGAATGTCACCGTGTAGGCTGCAGAACCGACGACGATTGTACCAATACGCACACTTGCATCAACAGACAATGTGTGCCAGCATGCGAAAGCGCCTATTGCGGTAACAAGGCGATCTGTCACGCTTACAACCATCGGGCGGTGTGCGAATGTCCACCAGGTCTCGCAGGCAACCCGCAGGTCAACTGCATCCAGGTCGGTTGCAGAACGGATTCTGAATGTCCTTCGAACCGGGCTTGTATCAACACCAAGTGCGAGAATCCTTGCGAAGCTGCTAATCCCTGCGACGCACCTGCGGAGTGTAAGATCTACAATCACGTGGTGGAGTGCATTTGTCCTCCAGGTAAGCACCATAATTGTTCATAAAAATACGCCCATATTTTCGATGGAAAGTTAAAAACAGTTTTGAATGGAATAGGCTGATTTATGTAACATCTGAAACTTATCCTGTGGCTTCTACGTTGATAATCTCCCATACTTGTTTGGCGCATCAAAATCACTTGTGTTACGAAATTATTTTTGGTGAACGACGTTTCTGTTCCTACAACAGTACCAACCGTGACCTTCTTCAAGTTCAATTGGCACTTTCTGTCATTGTATTTTCATTTATCTGTATTCCATGTATCACTTCTCGTACAGTATGTTACTACAATAGTCTGACAGGTCCTGTAACTTGCTGAAATTGCGTGAAGCAAAACCCAAAACTGCCTGGAGTAGTCATTCTCGTTCCCAAAAGGTTCTAGGTGGGCTTTCGCGTCCTCGGAGGACTTTAGGCGGTTCCCGGACGGTAGACGAGGGTGTCGCGTCTGGTGCTCTGAAAAATAACGGACAACCTCATGCTCGCTTGTCGCTTTGGAGGGTTTGACATATTTCTGGGAATAGGAATGCCTACCCCAGGCGGTCCTGAGCTTTGTTTTTTTTATACTCCAACCACCACGAAGGCCTAAGGCCTAAACAGCCATGGGGTACCGTGGGGCTATAGGGGGATACAGGGGAAAGGGGGAACGCCACACGGACTCTGGAGAGGGAACACGTGTGCAAGCAACATGCACACATTCTGGCCCCGCCTACGAGATCCGCCGGGTGGTACCCCTGCGTTCCACAGTCAGAGACCGTCTACCACCTACGGACAATCACAACATCCATACTCAAGAGAAAAGGGGTGCAAATCTTAAAGCCTGAGTCAAGAACCTATTCATTTAAAATTAGTGGTCATGCTTAGTCCTTTAAAACTAAAAAAACTTCATTAATTCAGCGATGTTTACTCGATATATTCAACATCATTTTTGTCTTTCAGGAACCGTAAGCGATGGTGGAAGAGGATGCTTACGAGAAGAAGCTAAATGCAGGTCGGATTCAGAGTGTCCCAGCCATTTTGCTTGCATAAATGCGGAATGTGTGAACCCTTGCACTATTGCGAAACCATGCGGTGTAAATGCTGAATGTACTGTTTTGGATACTGTTCCTGTCAGGACCCTCGTTTGTCAATGTGTGCCCGGATATCAAGGAAATGCAGCCGTGCAATGTGACAAAGGTGAGTAGTCTGATATATTTTATATTAGCAAATTAGGATCACAAAAGGCAAAGCGGTACTACAGAAGACAAAATGTCGCGAGTTGGTAAATAAACAGAGTTTAGATTATATGAACTTTCGTCTGATAATATGATCAAGTCGGTAATCAAGGATATTCAAGTTAATTAGAGATCCGACTTATTCCAAGCAAATCCAAGACAATCCTTGTGTCGGCTCATGTGCAAACGATGCGCTTCTGCCACCATTCTAGCCCAATTAATTAAATCTACTGATTTTTCAGTAAATTTCACGATTTTATAGATTGGAGGTACAATCCAAGAAAATATGAAGAGATCTAAGGAGCATATAAGAACCCGGGCGAAGAAGAACCTTTATTCAATAAATAAATAAATAATATCTTTATTTCCATGAGACTCCACAATAGAGTGTTGGAACTGTCAAAGATCACAAGCTAATAAAAATGGTACAATCACCTTAAAAAATACAGCTCTAGAGGAAAAACTCTAATGAGTATCAAATACCTAAGTAATCATTTAATAAATATACAGGGTGTCCGAAAAGTTGGGGTTTTCCTTTTCAGAAACAACTACCCTTGAAATAACAAAGGTAATGTGTAGTGAAACGAGGACGACCAAGTAAAAAAAAAATAAAGGAAAAGTACTCACTCTCCAGTTGACGAGAAGGGCTAAGTACGTCTCTGCCCGAAATCATACCGCTCCAACAGAAAATGAAGCTGAAGCGCTACCGAGCAGACGCAGAAACCACATTGATTGTCTTACACTTAATGGCACATCTTCTAACAAGGAAGGCAAAATGTTGCGTGAAAAGTCTAGGTATTGCATCCCGTCCAATCGATTTGGGAGAATAAATGGTCCAATGAGCATACCGTTCACCATGCCAGCACAAACATTCACCGAAAATGTTTGTTGAACATGACCAAACATGAGTGTTGCGAAAGTTATTCACCCCATTACGCGTGAACGTAGATTCGTCTGTCACCAATATGCACTTCAAAAAGTCTGGATTATTGTCATGTTGATGCAACAACCACTCACAAAACCGCACTTTTGCTGGAAAATCGTCAGGTTGAAGGGCTTGTACACGTTGGACGTGAAACGGATACAGCCCCTCTTCACGCAGCGTTTGCCACACTTTAGTTTTTGATACTTGCACTTCTCTAGCCACGTCTCTAGTGCTTGTTGTTTTTTGAAACGCAATCGATTATACGAGTTCGTTTACCTCTACACGCGTGACTGTAACCCTCGGTTGAAGGTTGCATACTAACCTGACACACTGACCCCGACCCAGTTCTGCCGTCGGGTTGAGACCTTGTACCAGACGGGGTGTCGGGGATATCCTGGCGGGTCGCGGATACAGGACGGTATTCAGATATTTTTGATGTTGCAGAGCCCTTTATCTCGGTTCCCTTAAGACATTGGCGTATATGGTACTAAGAAAAATTGCTTATGTTTTCAAGATCTACACGTCGTGTAAAGGAAAACCCCAACTTTGCGGACACCCTGTATAGGATGGTATACAAGAAATTCCTTGACCTTTTAAAAAGTGTTACCGATTGGATACTCTTTATACATTCTGGTAATATATTATACACCCTGGGTAACATAATCGTCGGAATTTTTGAAGTCAACGACAACCTGTACGCCCAAAAAAAAAAATTGTTTTTGGTTTCAATGATATTTGGCTCCATCGAAAACAAGATCGTCTTCTTCTCCTCCTTGTCACAAACAAATAAAAGTTAAAAGAGATAAAATAATGGTTTTCTACGTTACCATGTTGATTCCTCTTTGAAGTCCCTAAATTGTAATCTGGAATGGCGTTATCTCTATGCGGCCCCTTCAAGGTCATCTCAGGATCACTTCAGAACATGTCGGAACTGTCGATTGCAACCGATGTGTTTGGAGTTGCAGAGTCCAAGAAAAACTCAACTTTTCGCTATTTCCAAGCCTTTAATGTCTAACAAAATTTTTAAATTGCAGTTGCTGCATGCCGAACAGACCTCGGCTTCCAGTACACACCGGAAGGCGCCTGCGTATGCCCACCAGGCCGCGCCCTGAACGACTTGGACGCCTGCATCCCCTGCCCACCGGAGAAGGGACTCAAAGTGGACGACAGAGGGCGTTGCGTATGCGCATTGGAACGCGGTCTCATCATCGACGAACGCGGCAACTGCGTCTGTCCTCCGGAGTTCGGCTATAGGCTGGATTACAAGGGCAACTGCGTACCGCAAGGACCTGAATGCGAACGGGATGAGGATTGCGCTGACGATAGGTATTGCAACTTGGAGCCGAAGACTTGCGATAATCCATGCGAAGAGAAGGTTTGCGGAGAGAATGCTATCTGCAATGCCACGAGGCATAGGGCCATCTGTATATGCCCGCCTGGTTATACTGGAAATCCTGAAGTCAGTTGCAGTAAGTATTGCTTCATACTATTGAATCAGTGACAGGAATATATTATGAAAAAGTGGAAACTTTATTGTACCTTCGTTTTCGATGCTTTTTTCAATACCTCGAGGTTTTTCAATAATATTTCGAATATGTCAACGTCAGAAACCCTAGAAATTAACAAATATTTAGAGCCATTATCGGGCATAGAAAGACTCAAAAGCACAGTATTTTGAAATAATGTTAAATGGAGATTTGTATTTTATATGTTGAATCGACGCGATAACCAATTCTAATATACTCCGATACTGACAGCCTTATATAATAAAGCAAATTCGAGAATATAAACGTAAAATCGTTTCATTTATGGTAAATCCAAATCGCTGGACGTCGTGTTTGTAGTGACTTATTATTCGACCAACCCTCTACAGCGCTAGGATTTGGATTTTTGGCTATGGTTACGTCTTTTAATGATAAATAAGAATAACATTTAAAATACGAAAACGTCAGAATCCCTAGACATTACCAAATATTTAGAGCCTTTATCATGCATAAAATGACCCAAAAGCATTGGAATAACGTTAATTGGAGATTTGTATTTTATATGTTGAGTCGAAGCGATAATCAATTTTAATATATTGCGATACTGACAGCCTTATATAGAAAAGAGAATTCGAGAACACGTCGTGTGACTTAAAAAAAACACATTCTTCATCGCAACGATTCGATTGGGTTGTAGTAAAGTTAAACCATCAAAAACTCTAAATAGACTGTATAAAGTAGATTATGAAGTACGAATGATTTTCTTTTGCCACCGAATAGATATATTATATTTTATTTTTCCTTTCAGATACCACCCAACCGCACATGCGTACCGACTTCCCAAGGGCTAACCTAGAAGTATCTTGTCTATCCAACGGCGTCCAAGTAGCAGTGACTGTATCGGACTATTTCAACGGCATCCTGTACGTGAAAGGACACAGCAAAGACGAGAAATGTAGACGAGTCATCGATGGCGAAACCAGTGAAAGATTGGAACTCTTTACTGTCAACTTTGGAACTTGCGGCCTTATCCATGTCAATGTAAGTCAGTCAGTCTCATTTTCATCATCAGAACCAGTACATAGAGAAAATAAAAAAACTAATAGATATTAGTACCAATAAAGTAATAATTAGTCACAAAGAGAAAAGCAGAAATGCCTGGATTACCAAAGGATTAATAACATCGGCAATAGAAAAAGAAAGACTATATAATGTAATGAAACAAACGCCAACTACAGAGAATACCGACTGCTACAACCAATATAAAAATAAATTTATAGAGCTTGTAAGACAAACCAAACGAAAACATTACCTAAATAAATTGAATAATAACTTAAATGATCCTAAGCGGCTTTGGACAACTATTGATGAGATTACTGGGAAAACAAAAGTTAAAGAGTGTGTCACTGAGTATTAAAAAATACTCAACAGATATGCGATAGGCGAAAATTTAGCAAGTAATATACAAGCAAATGTACAAAATACTCAGCCTCCAAAAAGAACTTTGAACTCATTTATTTTGCATAAAGTCGAGCAATGTGAAGTATACACCACTGTTATGTCCTTAAAAAATCAGAAAAGTCCTGGGTTCGATGGTATTAAAAGCGAGCATTTGAAAATTATAGCCGAGGACATAACAGAACCACTCACTTAACTAATCAACAAATGCTTTGAATCTGGCATATATCCCTCAATTTTAAAAAAAGGTAATATAATACCGATACATATATCAGGAACAAAAACAGATGTTAACAACTATAGACCAATATCAATAATATCCAGTGTAGCAAAGGTTTTTGAAAAAGTTTTATCTACTAGAATGATTCGATACCTCACAAAATTCAAAATTTTAAGTGAAAATCAATATGGATTTACAGAAGGGAAGGCTACATCGGACGCAATAACTAAAATCGTAAATCAAATACATCAAAATATTGATAACAGAATCCCTTCAATCTGCATTTTTGTTGATTTAAAGAAAGCTTTCGACACAGTTAATCACAAATTATTATTAGAAGCATTTGAGAGAATTGGTTTCAGAGGAAACGCGTACTCACTGATCGAAAGTTATTTGTCAAATCGTCCACAATCTGTGCAGATATCAGGATCATTTAGTAAAGAAATGTATATTAAGCGTGGTGTCCCACAAAGAACTGTCTTAGGTCCGCTGTTATTCAATATATATTTAGATGATATTTTCCAAATTAATTGTGTTGGCAAAATAACTAGTTTTGCAGATGATACTGCAATATTATATGAAGGCACTGACTGGTCTGATCTGAAAAATGTAATTGAAAATGATTTTATCAAAATTATTCGGTGGTTTAACAGTAGAAAATTAAGCATTAACTACTCTAAAACACATTTTTTACCATTTGAATCTTATGCTAGACATCTGCCAAATTACACAAATTTCTCCTTCAATATTAATGATCAAAAAATGCAAATTAATAGAGTGCTCAACATAGAATACCTTGGAGTGATCTTGGATCCTCACTTACGATGGGACATCCATGTCAATTATATTTTAAAGAAGGTTAGATTTGTATCCTACAGAATTAAATACCTTGGGCATATATTGACAGAAAAATATCTTCGAACATTATACCATGCACTGATTGAGCCTCATCTCACATATGGTATATTAGCATGGGGAGCTGCATGTTCCTCACATATCTATAATTTAGATGTTTTTCAAAAAAGTATACTAAAAATGATATTTAAAAAAACCGAAACTTTATCCCACTGAAAAATTATACGCAGATGTTCGAATGTATGATATAAGACAGCTTTATTTCTTACACAGTATCACTCACTACCATAAATTTGTAAACACCGACCAAAAAATTAAACATAATCATTATAGCAGGTACAAAATTCGTGGCACAGTAGTTCCTCAACCGCATAAATACATAATGCAGCGATCATATCTCTATTTAGCGCCTAAATTTTATGAAATTATACCTAAAGACTTAAAAGATTTACGTTTCGGAAATTGTTTCAAAAGAAATTTAAAAAAGTGGCTACATTCTATATCTAGGACTGAAATTCATAAACTCATAAATACGAACATCAACTAAATACATAATCTACTGTAGCTAATTTTTGTCCTTTTTTGTCATTTGCATTCTACAGTTTCAACTTAAATTTATTGGTCCATGTACAGGCGATGCCTTCTATTGGGCCTGTTTTGATTTTATATTTATTTACTCATATTGTTTGTTATCTTTGTACATTGAGTGAATAAATATATTATTATTATTATTATTAGTACTGCATAGACACAAACAATATAAATATAGAATAAATCCAGAAAAACAATTATTTCTTTTAGCAAAATTGATATAACTATACGTTCAGCAAGATCATGGTACTTTTATGCATAATTAAAACCGCAAAAGAACCCGAGATAGCATTAAATAAAAAGGAACTGTCAGAAACGTCACATGATACGGTTTAATATTTCAATATTCCTTTAGCTTATGTACATTCAGATGTCATCCAACTTCTTTTGACCCAAATGGTGTTGAAAACGCCTTATTCCATACACGTTTTTTTAATAGTCGTAAAAGGCCTGACACCAGAATTTTGGATATTCGACGCGATGTTAGCACACCACTGATACCAAGAGTGGTCACAGTCGGCACAAAGAACATCTGAATATAGTTATCCACCAAAGTACTTCTTTCCATTGTTTCACGTGATTATGCTTTGTGGTGCCATTTATTGGAATATAATTCGATACTTTTTGTCGGCCCGGGTATTTTTGTTGGTTCCAGTAAGGAGCAGACATAATATAATTATCGATATCGTTATTCAAATTTCGAATAAAATCTTCAGGGAGAAGCCAGTTTCGTCCTGGTCATCCAACACCATCCCAAGCTGATGACAGACAAAGCCAAAGCGTATCACATCAAGTGTATGTACCGCACCGGAGAGCAAACCGTCACTTTAGGTTTCAACGTCTCGATGCTCACAACTGCTGGCACGATAGCAAACACCGGACCTCCACCAACATGTTTGATGAAGATCGTGACTCCAACTGGCGAAGAGATCAACTCTGCGGAGATTGGTGATAATTTGGTGTTGCAGGTTGACGTGCAACCTGGCAGCATTTATGGAGGTATGTGCTTCAATTATAATTGAATCAATGATTGGTGTTTTATTCAACTGTCCTGTCTGATGAGAGGTTATGTTTAAAGTTATAAATTACGATTTTTTCCAGTTTCTCTGCGCTTAAAAAATTTATTTACTGTTTTGTTTCACCCATTTATTTTGCCTATTCTTATTTTTTCACAAAAATTCATTAATCACGTTGTCATTTCTTCCAGGATTCGCAAGGAGTTGTGTAGCAAAAACAACCGAAGACAGCATCGAAAACGAATACCTGGTCACAGATGAAGACGGATGTGCCACAGATCCGACAATATTCGGAGAATGGGAATATAACCCTGATACTCAAAGCTTATTGGCTAGTTTCAACGCTTTCAAATTCCCTAGCAGTGATACAATCAGATTCCAGTGCAATATCAGAGTATGCTTTGGAAAATGTCAACCTGTAAGTAGACATTTTTATGTGGTATATTTTCTAATTCCATTCCAACAAAAATTAGTCTTGAAATATAACAATAATAAACGACTTCTATTGAGGGCGAAGTTTAACTTGAAGCTATTCTGCCGCTTAATCCTTGAAAAGTACAAAAATAAAATAGCAATTGTAAACATATACCTAAGATAATGAAAATTTAATTACACATACGAATATACACCAAAAAGGAAAGGTTTTGCGAAGTTAGTGAATACTTTTCTAAAGTAAATTGTCTAAGTAGTGTGTCTATGGGGATTGAATCTCACTGTTTCTAAAATCCGCCACTAGAGGCGCTGGCGTCGCGCGCCATTGATGAGTTGGACGGAATCTGTATGTGAAATTGATGAGTTGGGGATTCCGCCGCTAGATGGCGCTGTACAAACCAAACGGAATCTATGTGTCATTGGACACCTGTCATGCGTCATTGTTTTTTTAATCCATTATAGCTGTGTCTTCTTTGTTGAAATCACATTTGACTTTTGTACTTTCCTCAGGTGAACTGCAGAGGATACAACGCGTTTGGAAGAAGGAGGAGGGCCATCGAAGACCTTAACGAAAACAATACTGACGTCGCAAATGCTGGCGATATTCTAACTGGCCAACTTAGAGAGGAAATAACTATAGAATCGAATGCCATTTTAACTCTTGAGAGGCGCGAAGAACGAGGAGCCGATCCACGCACTGGTAAGTAGATTTCTCTGACATTAATATTAGTTATTAAAGAAAAGAAAGGGTCACGCGTAGAAAGGTATATAACAAATAGCAAAAAAGGGTTACACCCGTATCTGGATGTATGGGCACATGTCTCTACCTTTTTAGCTGCATATGTGCATTTATTTCGTGCCTGATAAAGCCAAAAAGCAGGAATACATATTGGGTTACCTATTTTTTTCTGCTCGAATCCACTGTCCTCGTTTTGCGGATTTTGCCCATTTTTTTGCTATTCGTAATATTATTTCTTGTCGTAGATAGATATTTCCATGCCACAGGTAAGGTAGAACATCTATTTTATAAAATGGGAGATGGGGAGATGCAATCCGATATGCTAAAGGTCACTGGTCCATAGTCCACTTAGTAAGCGCTTTTGTGTCGATATTTTTCCTGAGATGTGAACTGAAGACTCCTCATCACCACATCGCTCAGAAATCGAGCGGTGACTAATAACCCTCATGATGTGGAGATGGCTCCTTGACAGTTTTTTATCAGTTCCAACAAACAATCGCGCATTATTCTTATCTAAGGATAGCTAGATATGAAGGATACCAGAAAAGAAATCTACCCATCCATGAAAATAACAATTGAAACGCACAAGCATAATATACTAAGTGACATATAAATCCGAACACCCAGTTTAAATGGTTTTACTTTAATAAAATTTTGTATAAGTACTTAATGAAGCATAATAAGTAAATGATAAAAATTTCAAAATGATTGCACTGCTTTAAAGCCCTTTCACCTTTAATAATGTGTGGATGCACCCTGATGTGCTACGCATTCTCCAACGCGCCTAGGCATGCTTCTGATCAGGTGGTCAATGTCCTCCTGTGGTATCTCATTCCAGGCAACCACCAACTCTTCTCGAAGTCCTTCTAGAGTCTGAGGAGGACGTTGCAAATTGAGCAAACTCCTACCCATCATATCCCACACGTGCTCAATTGGGGATAAGTCGGGAGATCTTGGTGGTCATGGTAACAATGTGACATCATTATGTTGAAAGAAGTCTATTGTGACTCTTGCAACATGTGGTCGGGCATTATCCTGTTGGAAAGTTGGATCTGCCAGGGTGTGAAGATAGGGTAAAAGATGGGGTTCTAGAACTTCGTGGATATAACGCTGCGCGTTCATGTTACCTCTGATGAAGATTAAAGGTGACCTGGAACCATAAGCTATAGCACCCCAAACCATAACTCCAACAGTGTGATGAACATGTCTTTCAACAAAAAACTGTGGATTCCTCCTTTCGCCACGTCGCCTTCTAACCCTGACACGACCATCGTGCATGCCTAAACAAAATCGAGACTCGTCACTAAAGACAATACTGTTCCATTCCTGATCCCAGAGTGACCGTTGTCTGCACCACTCAAGGCGATTACGTCGGTGTTCTCGAGTTAAAGGGAGGACCCAGTGTGGCCGGTATGAAAACAAGCCAAAACTTCTCATGCGTCGGTAAACACTTCGCATGCCAATAGGTCTTCCGTGTTCTGCAAACCATTCATTTGCAATGGACCTGGTAGTGGAGAAACGGTCCCTTAAGGCCAATAATCTTAGGCGGCGATCTTCACGGTCTGTTGTTCTACGGCGGCGTCCAGTGCCCCTTGCTCTTTGCGTACGGCCTTCTCGAAGCCATGCCTGACAACACCTAACCACAGTGTCTACACTTCTTTGCACTCTAACTGCAATTGCCCGAAAAGAAAGTCCAGCTTCCCGAAGTCCCACTATACGGCCCCTATCAAACTCACTAAGTTGACGAAATCGTACAGGTCTCCGTACTCTAGGCATCGTAACCGATCGTAAAGGATGTCGAGAACCAAAATCCGCTAACGTTGATTCTTTACTGCGGCTGAAATATTCATTTTTAGAGCGTTAGTGAATTTAAAAAAAGCAGTGTAAAAACCGGAATGTCCAACTGATAAGACCGAAAATTTTTTCACTTGTTATTTACAGTAATATAAATACATTCACCAACTTTTATTAAAATAAAACCATTTAAACTGGGTGTTCGGATTTATATGTCACTTAGTATATGTCAAATAGTGGCATGTGTTGGAACACACATATTAAAGTTAGAACCTTAATTGCAAAACTTGAGTTTGACCATTAGTTTCCAATTTTTAAAATGAATTGTGAGTAAAAATGATTAACTTAGAGTATCGCAGTGTCATGGAGTTTCTGACAAAAGAGGGCCACCAGCTGAAAGTGATTCAAGAGAAAATGGTTGGCGTCTATGAGGATGATGCACCATCATATTACAGAGTAAAATTTAGCTCGAAACTGTTTCAATGAGAGCGTGAATCCATAGAAGACGATCCCAGAAGTGGAAGAACGAAAACAGCGGCAAATGATGGAATGACTCAAAATGTTGAAATAATGCTTGTCGAAGATCTTCGTGTGGAGGTCTCTGCCATTAGTATGGCATTGAATATATTGGAACCCAGCGTAATAGGGTGTCAGTCAGGTGTGGTCCACAAATGTTGACACCTGAACAAAATTTGCGCAAGTTGAAGTATTTCAGAAAGAAATTTTGAACAAGGGCCCGAGTATAGACCCTTGTGACACCCCTGTTAGAATATCTGTGCGTTCCGAATAAGAACAATCGATATGGATTTTCTGGAAGCGTTTAAATGAGTAGCTTCATATCGAAAACGGTAAGGAGTCAGTGAAACCATAGTACTTGAATTTTGAAGACAAAAGTTCAAAATTCTCAGCTAAATACAAATATGTGACCGATTAATGTCTTGCCCGATGTCGAGAAGCTCTGCTTGAAGGGATAACACACAAATAAATCATAGAATTCATTGAAGAAACAAAAATTTTGGTAAAAAATCAAGCTGGATTTAGACAAAAATATTCCACAGAAATGGCAATCCAAATCTTGGTGGAAGACTGGAGAAGAAATATAGATGAGAAAGAATATATTATAAAAATGCTTTTACACTTCAAAAGGGCGTTTGAGACTATAGATAGGGAAAAACTGTTAATGAAATTGCGTCACTATGGCTTTGAAGGATCAGTTTAAGGTGAAATAAATAAATCACTTTATGAATAATCAAAATACATAGTGACGTAATTTTAATTTTAATAGACAAGAATGTAAAATTACAGAAAATGGATTGAAGAAAAATATGAAATCGAATCATTATACAAAATTGACATTATAGCATTAATGCTAAATAAATCTACAACAACAACAAGTTCGGTCATACGCCGTTAAAATACCCGTGGTAATCGTAAATAGTTACTGTTTCAGTACTTCTTGGAAATATCACACAGCTCTTTAACTAGTCGACTCAAATCTTATTTCATGAGATAAGTAGGTATTTCTTACAGTATTTGGCTTAAAAAAACTAGCCTATTACCAAATTAAACTTTACGGCTACTTTCTATAGGTACACAATATTTTTTCCAGTGGTAAAGTGTCCACTAGCCGAATACGAAACTAAACTTGACGAATACTTCCTGATCACAATATTTCTATTTCAGTGGCAAGCGCCCAACGCGCAGAAGACATCTGCGTGTCGATGATCGGTTTCATCATCGCGCTGGTAATCACTGCCTTGCTGGCCTTGGTCGCGGTCGCCATTGCTGTCTCGTGTTGGCTGATGGCGTACCGAAGACGACCGAAGACCACCGGACCGCTTCCCCATCCTCCGGAGTTCCCCAACCCCCTGTTCACTACTCCGGAACCGATGGCGGAACCCAGTCCAGACTACCTCACGTGAAATGTCTCCTGAATCAACTACGATACGCGTTCCGTCCGAACTGATTTTGTATCATGGGCGCCCGTATGACCCAAAAAGGAGACCTTGTGCTATGTGCAATATTCAAGAGTCGCTTTATCGTAAAGACTTTAGTTCACGGTGACTACAGTACACATAGCTTGATGCAGAGATTATTGATTCCAGTTTTTGAGTTGTTGTTCATTTGAAGTTACTCATTTATCATTCAAAAAGGTCATTAATCAGAAAAAAAAAATTAAATTAGTAATCCCCTCAATTCATTTCGGCTTAGACATCTATATCGCTGTGAATTAAATTCCTTACTTTTCAATGAACAAGTTTATTCTCTACATTCTTGTAAAACTTCTTCATTGAATTATGTCTCCTTTGCTTATTTGAAAAAAAATTTGTATTGGCGCCCATGCAAAGATTTTATAATGTCTAGATAGGCGATGATACGAATACTCGTACTGTATATTTTTTTACTTTCGCGAAACCGTGGCGGCAGAGGTAGGTATATTTCGCTTTAGGTGTCATACCTTCATACAAAAAGGGCCCCCTTAAAATTATTTTTTGCTTGAAAGTGATGGCAAAACCACCCCACACTATAATATAATCTTTTCGGGAGAAATTGAACGTCACCTTAGCAAAAGTCATGTTCCAAGTATCGTGAACTATATAAGCGATTTAAAAATTTTTATTTAGCTTATCACTGTATTTTTGAGTCAGGATTTTTAAAATTATTTTTCAATACCGATCACTTTTTTATCAACGTATACCAAACATGTAAAATAAACTATTATTTTTAAGTAACAAGCGCATATGTTTTATTAAAAAAATTTGTTCCATTCAAAACTGAAAGAAACTTATTGCCTGCTAGTGATGTTCAATTAATTTTGCTTTATCGTTATACAGTGTGAATTTTTTGTGTGACTGGAACGATAACTCGGTTATTACGCATGACATCTAAACAAAGTTAATCACAAACAGTATCCTCCTTACTTAGAAAATATGTATATTTCTACAGTGTGATACATAGCTACGTGGTGATCCAAACATTTTTTTTTTCAAAAGGAAAGAACAATATTTTATTGCAGATTCGGATAGGTCCTTTCAAACGAATCAATTTTATATCATACCATCTCTAAATTGTTGAGATATTGAGAAATCTATAGAAAAAGCAAAACGCTCATCTTCGAAACTTTACAGCTAAGCTACTGAATTTTTTGTCACAAGAATTCTGTGATCCCAAAATCTTCCAATCCACTTACTGTTTCAGGAGCTTTGATAAAATATACAAAATTGTTAATAACGTAAAATGAACGATTTCTCAAAATTTTCAAATGAAACACCCTGTATATTTTCATATTTTTCCATTTTCCTTTTCACAAGATTTCTTATACGAGGTTTATGGGAGCTTGTATGAACTGTTTTTGAGTTACAGTCAACCTTTTTTTTGTAAATCGGATATCGAAGTAAATGAAAAATATTACAATACCTTAAAAAATAAAAATCGGATTCAGTTAGTAACGGCAGATGGTAAAATCTGAGTATTTTCATTTATAATTAAATTTACGTAACCTTATGTAATAAAGTCGAAAGGTCAAGGAGGTGTCGGCTTGTTTTCAGTAACTCAAAAATCACTATCAGTAAAAAGCATGTGAAAAAAATTCTGCCAACTGGCACCTTCGCAACTTTACAGCTAAGCTACTGAATTTTTCGTCACAAGAATCCTATGATCCCAAAATCTTCTTCCAATCCACCTAATGTTTCAGGATTTTTGACGAACTATACAGGGTGGGCAATAACGTAAAAAGAACGATTACTCAAAATTTCCAAATGAAACACCCTGTATATTTTCACAGCTTTTGATCCCCCTTTTCACCAGCTTTTGTTTGATATGAGGGTTGAGGAGCTTGTACATATTGTTTTTAGATTTACAGTCAACCTTTTTTTTTAGTAAATCGGAAATCAAGGTAAATTAAAAATATTACAATACCTTAAAAAATAAAAATTACATTCAGTTAGTAACGGCAGATAGTAAAATCCAAATATTTTAATTTATAATTATATTTACGTAACCTTATGCAATAAAGTCGAAAGGTCAAGGAGGTGTCGGCTTGTTTTCAGTAACTTAAAAACCATTATCAGTGAAAAGCATGTGAAAAAATTCTGGCAACTGGCACCTTCGCAACTTTACAGCTAAGCTACAGAATTTTTCGTCACAACAATCCTATGATCCCAAAATCTTCTTCCCATCCACTTACTGTTTCAGGATTTTTGACGAACTATACAGGGTGGGCAATAACGTAAAAAGAACGATTTCTCAAAATTTCAAAATGAATCACCCTGTATATTTTCACAGCTTTTGATCCCCCTTTTCATCAACTTTTGTTTGATATGGGGGTTCAGGGAACTTGTACAAATTGTTTTTAGATTTACAGACAAACTTTTTTTTTCGTAAATCGGAAATCAAAGTAAATGAAAAATATTACAATACCTTAAAAAATAAAAATTGCATTCAGTTAGTAACGGCAGATCGTAAAATCCAAATATTTTCATTTATAATTATATTTACGTAACCTTATGCAATAGAGTCGAAAAGTCAAGGAGGTGTCGGCTTGTTTTCAGTAACTCAAAAACTACTATCAGTAAAAAGCATGTGATAAAATTCTAGCAACTGGCACCTTCGCAACTTGACAGCTAAAATCTTCTTCCAATCCACTTAATGTTTCATGATTTTTGATGAACTATACAGGGTGGTCAATAACGTAAAATGAACGTATTCTCAAAATTTCCAAATGAAACACCCTGTATATTTACTAGCTTTTCATTTCCCTTTTCACAAGCTTTTTTGATATGAGGCTTATGGAAGCTTGTACGAATTGTTGTTGGAGTTACAGTCAACCTTTTTTTTGTAAATCGGCAGATGGTAAAACATTATAAATTAAAGTTACCTAACCTTATGCAACCAGTAGGAAAGTCAAGGACGCGCTCGTGTATTTTTAGCAAATCAAAAACCAGTATGTCAGTAAAAAGCATGTAAAAAGGGGTAACAAAATATATGGAAATTTACAGTATTAGATTTGAAAATTTTGAAAAATCGCTCATATTGCGTTCTTAACCACCCTGTATAACTAACCAAAAAATTGGAAAACTAAGAAAAGAGGTGTAGAAATATGGAGTCATAGAGTGTTTTCAGATGAAAAATTCACTTCTATAGCTATAACAGTGGCATAGGTGCAAGTTGTTAAAGTTGAATGTTTTTAATATTAATTATAAATTGCCCATCATCTCAACATTTTGAAAATAGAACCCTATAGTATCTTATATCAAATTGGATTGTTTGGAAGCGCCTATCTGAATCTGCAATAAAATATTTGCCTTTCCTTTTAAAAAATACATATTTGGGTCACCTCGTGAATCGCCATGTAAAGATATAAATATTTTCCAAGTCAGGAGCATATCGATGGCTACAATTTTTGTATTTAATTGTTTAGATACCGTGCCTAATAACAGAGTTACTGACCGACACTAAAAACACATATTTATCGTAGTAATGGTGTGGAAATTGATAATATTAAATGAATAATTAAAGTAGTATTTATAAAGTCAGCACCTGCTTTGCATTTTTGGAAAAAGGCTCGTTTTGTATGTTGTAGGTAGCCTTGGTAAGCGAAATATCACATTTTTCATAAAAAAAATCCGTCCATATTTGTGTGGCCTAACCTCGGCCGTCGCTCTACGAACTACATTTTAGTGAATTTTTGTAAGCGAAACGTCCCTTGACCAACCAAGCGCTTCAATCTGGTGAACGGGCGTTTCGTACTATCTTTTCCCCGGGCTGTACCTTGCTAGTATTCTTTGCAGACGAGGGTGAACAATAATTTACGGTGGAGGTCTCCTTTTTAATGCTTCGCGGATATTTTGTGTTTCTAATTCACTCACGGCCCCTCCAGTCTGTCGCGTCTTTTGTAAATATTTTTGAAAATTCTCTTCTCGCAGCCCCTGGAAGACGTATGGAACTTAGATAAGTTAAATATTTTTTTTATGAATTGTATAAAGTGTATGAATGTACGTTGAATGTGGGGTGGTCGTAGCCCCGAATATAATTTTTGGTGCTGACTGATTTTTTATGTAATTCTTGGAGCAGTCACGTTTAGTCAATCTATACCTATTAATAGTACCTATGCATTATTTAAGCATTCCAATTCTTCGACCAAAAACCGTTCAGATTGTAGAAAATTTTGGCTCAAGCCTATACAACGAAACTGCCTGTGAGTTTTATATTTTGTACTTTTGTAACTAATTTCGTTATTTATGTTAAACTTTGTAATATTCTAACGATGATTCTCTAAAATTGTCATTTGTGATAATTGCTTCTTTAATAAAGATTATTGTTTAATAGGAGCTGTGTTTCTATCTTGCACCAATCCGGACGTGATGTAGGCAAAACAAAAACGGTATATTGAGAAAACAAGTTTATATTAACTATACAGGGTGACTTCGAAGTTGAGTCATTTATTTTAACAGTGAGTAGATCTGATCAAAAGAAATGTTTTTTTCCTTTACCATTTTTCTGGTAAAATTAAAGTAACAAAGTTATAGCCCTTTGGAAGTTTGAGTACCGCCCTGTCTCAATAATAATATCATGTGCTCGTGTTTGGCAACAACGGATATAATCCGCCTTATCGGTTCATCGCATCGGAAACAAAAAAGCGAAAGAATTTGGAACGATGTTTTTACAATTATTTTATTCAGTTGTATACATACAGTCAGTGTCAGTCGGTAACGCGTGTGAATAGTGGTGTCTGTTGCGTGGCTCAAACGAAATAAAAAATGGCACATGTTTATGCGGATCGGTTTCCCAATCGAGTGCAACCAACCCTTCGTGCCTTTGTTAATGTAGTACAACGGGCTCGTGAATCAGGTGACTTAAGACCTCACAGGGGAACTCACGATCAAATACAGGTCCGCACTGAAATACTTGTCGGGAGGATACTTTATAAAACAAGGTAAACATTTTTTTTTAATTTTTTTTTTTATTTTTACACACAGATTTTGGTTTATCTTCCTTCTACAATCATTACCTGAAAATTAATGACTCAACTTCAAAGTCACCCTGTATATACATAAATTATATTGAGCTAGGTGCTACATTTTATTATACAGTGTGGCCCATCCATGTGTGGACCGAATATTATTCATAAACAAATACATTTTGTGAAAATCTATTTATGGCATGTTTTACAGGGTGGCCCATCCATCTGTGGACGGAATATTACTCATAAACAAATACATTTTGTGAAAATATATTTATAGCATGTTATACATGACATTTGAGGGCACATTTCTGAAATATTGGCAATTATACAGGGTGTCCCAGTTTTGACCTACATATCAAAGCTGTGATTTTTTAAATGGAATGCCTCAAACTTTTTTGCACATTTGGATAAACCAATTCAAAAGAAGAAGATTGATATAACATACTATGAGGTCTTGGTAATTAGCTACTGAGATGTGAGGTGTTCTGTCCAGAAAAACCGTCCACTTCGGCGACCCCTCAATCCGCCATTTTGAAATTTAGAGTGCTGAATTTTGTGTCAAAAAAACTCACACACCTCAGCTTTTATCTTGTTTGTTACTTTTTCGAATTTTCATTTTTGCTCGTCAGGGTTAAAACGAGAACTACTTTTTCTCAAAAAATTCAAATGCATCACCCTGTAAATTTGTGAAAAGTTTTTTTTGGTATAAGGTTTGATTATAATTTTATTTACGTAACCTTACGCAATAAAGTCGAAAAGTCAAGGAGGTGTCTGCTTGTTTTTTCAGTAACTCAAAAACCACTATCAGTAAAAAGAATGTGAACAAAATTCTGGCAACTGGCACCTTCGCAACTTTCCAGATAAGCTACTGAACTTTTCGTCTCAAGAATTCTATGATCCCAAAATTTTCTTCCAATCCACTTATTGTTTCAGGATGTTTGATAAACTATATAGTATACAGGGTGTCCGCAAAGTTGGGCTTTTCCTTTACACGACGTGTAGATCTTGAAAACATAAGCAATTTTTCTTAGTACCATATACACCAATGTCTTAAGGGAACCGAGATAAAGGGCTCTGCAACATCAAAAATATCTGAATACCGTCCTGTAGCCGCGACATCACCGATAGGTACAAGGTCACTGGCTCAACCCGACGACAGAACTGGGTCAGGGTCAGTGTGTCAGGTCAGTATGCAACCTTCAACCGACGGTTACGGTCACGCGTGTAGAGGTAATCGCGTAGACGAGAATCCGTCAACAAGCACTAGAGACGTGGCTAGAGAAGTGCAAGTATCAAAAATTAAAGTGTAGCAAACGCTGCGTGAAGAGGGGCTGTATCCGTTTCACGTCCAACGTGTAGAAGCCCTTCAACCTGACGATTTTCCAGCAAGAGTGCGGTTTTGTGAGTGGTTGTTGCATCAACATGACAATAATCCGGACTTTTTGAAGTGCATATTGGTGACAGACGAATCTACGTTCACGCGTAATGAGGTGAATAACTTTCGCAACACTCATGTTTGGTCAGTAGAAAATCCGCACGCTGTCCGTCAGGCACATTTTCAACAAACGTTTTCGGTGAATGTTTGGGCTGGCATGGTGAACGGTATGCTCATTGGACCATTTATTCTCCCAAATCGATTGGACGGGATGCAATACCTAGACTTTTTACGCAACATTTTGCCTTCCTTGTTAGAAGATGTGCCATTAAGTGTAAGACAATCAATATGGTTTCTGCGTCTGCTCGGTAGCGCATCAGCTGATTTCATTTTCTGTTGGAGCGGTATGATTTCGGGCAGAGACGTACTTAGCCCTTCTCGTCAACTGGAGAGTGAGTACTTTTTCCTCTATTTTTTTTTACTTGGTCGCCCTCGTTTCACTACACATTACCTATGTTATTAAAAGGAAAACCCCAACTTTGCGGACACCCTGTATTTTGGTATAAGGTTTGATTCAGATAAAATCATTAGATTTTGAGTTATTAAGCTTTTAATAAAACAACACACCAAAATTAAGGAAAAAATCACACCATCCTTGAAGACAAAAGACAAACAGTGGGCTAGTTCCATATTGCCACTAAGAGTACAGATTTGACGTAAAAACTAATAACAATCAGAACAGTTTGCCTGCCTCCCTCCCCTCTCACAATCCCCTTCTATGTCAAAACGTATGAAGTTGATCTACCGTGTGACTATGCCAGCCAGTATCCAAATCAGGCGTCGCGTGGTAGGTAGATTAACTAAGTTTATAAGCAAATCACATTTGAAAAACCGAAATTGGCACATTCCTAAAGCAATACCGTAGTTATCGATTTGATATGATCATATTTTTTTTTTCAAGAAGGCAAATCTGCTCAAGATGCTATTGTAAAATTAACAAATAAAATATACACGAATCTCGATATTGGCAAACCAACTGCTTGTGTTTTTGTTGACTTGGCAAAGGCATTCGACTCTATTACTCATGAATCGCTTTTAACAACTTTAGAAAACTTAGGTTTCCGGGGAATAACATACAAACTTATGGAAAATTATTTGTCAAATCGAACACAGTGCGTCAAAATTAATAACACATTCAGTGAACCCCATATTATATCACACGGTGTACCTCAAGGCTCAGTATTAGGACCCATTTTATTTAATCTATTTATCAACGATTTGTTCAAAATAAATAGTACAGGTAAAGTTATCGGTTTTGCGGATGATACAGCTATTCTCTATGAAAGCGACCAGTGGCATACACTAAAAACCACAATCGAACATGATTTCAAAACATTTATAAATTTCTTTTCGGAAAGAACTTTGACAATTAATTACAACAAAACACACTATATAGCATTTTCTTGTAACGACAGGCTCTCACCGCAATTTAAAAAACTTGAAATTAATACAAGCAGTGGTCTCAAAGAGATTCAGTCAGCCGATAAAATAAAATACTTAGGCGTGATTTTGGACAAACACTTAAAATGGGATACCCATACAGAGTACCTTGTGAAGAGACTGAGATGTATTATTCCAAAATTCAGGTACTTCAGAGATATTCTAGATAAGAAATATCTATATAATCTATATTATGCTCTTGTTTATCCTCTATTACTTTACGGAATTTTGGCTTGGGGGGGAGTTATGAATAATAATTACAAAAAGGTTGAGGTAATCCAAAAATTAATTCTAAAATTGATCCTCCATAGGGAGATTACTTATTCAAGTGATTTTCTATATGTGGAGGCTCAGCTATTAGATTGCAGACAAATTTATTTTTATTGTGGTCTAATACATTATTTCAAATATTCAAAATACTTTAATCGTACCATTCATAACTACCCAACAAGATTCAATCAAAATTCAATGTGTATTCCACAAACATCAAAAACCATTACACAACGATCTCTGTTTTTCTTGGGACCAAAATTCTATAACTCCATACCAGAGTCATTAAAAGTAATTAAATCAAATAAATCATTTAAAAAACAACTAAAAAAATTGATTTTACAACAACCAAGGTACTCGATCCACGAAATTATAGATCTGAAAAATCATTATCAAAATCAATAATATTTTACTTACACTAACATCCATACTTTTACTTCAGTTCTAATTGTCTGGATATTTTTCCTGACATTACCATAATAATTCACCAAATTATACAGTATTAACGGGTTTTTTCTTTTTTTTTCATACACTGACTGTACTATTAGTTTTTATTTTGTACAAACCCAAACACAAGTGCAAACTTTTTTTGGGTGCTTTATGTTTATTGTGCACAATATTTGATATTTACTTGTATTTTGTGACAATAAACATTATTATTATTATTATTATTATTATTATTATTATTATTATTATTATTATTATATTATATTAAAAATCCTATTGATACTCCGCGAGTGAACCCAGAACGTCGCCGTCGTCCTCGATGTTTCTTTCCATCAGAGCTGCCTATGTTTGTTTATAACGTGCAAAAGCAATCTGGTTGAACACAGTTGAAGACCTCAACAGCCCCAAATGTTGCAAATTTAGCAAGGTACAAACAAATTCGTGTTTTTTTAATAGAACAGCGACAAATTCAAACAGCGTTTACAAACAAAACATGTGACAGTACTTGAAATTTCTTATCAAATAAATAGTGAGGATTTTTCTTCAATTTCTTATATACGAGCTCCTTCCCACTTCAGTTGGCCCAATTATTGAAATCTTAGTTTTTTCCTTATCAAACACAAATAATAAAAATGTAGCAGGGTGTTATAGGTTTAAAATATTAAGAATGAATATTTTGATAATATATAGTAGAAAACACCAACCCTAATCAAATTTGCAGCATAAAAATGTACACGTTGCAATTACAGCATATCAACCTATTTTCATTTCAATGCAAAATAAGTCTATAACGGATAGGTGGCTGTGAAAAATAAAAGCCATGACATTTTTTTTTATTAATCACAGCTGTCAGAATACGTTTAAAATAGTTTTGGGTAGTTAAGGTTTTCAAAATGGGTAGAGGAAAGGTTATTAGTGAGAAAATTCGGTTACTGATAATTAAATTTTTTAATTCTGGGAAATCAAACTCAGAAATGGCAACTTTGTTAGACTTATCGCGGTACAGTGTGAAAAATATTGTTAGAAGATATAACGTAGCTGGTTCAGTTAATATTAAGCCACGATATGTGAAAAAAAGTAATATCACAAATGCCGACCGAAGAGCATTAAGAAGAATAATCGTGAAAAACAGGCGTGCCAATTATTTACAATTAAGTGCTCTGTGAAGTGACGCTGTTGGACGGAGAATTTCGAGGTCCACAACTCATAGAAAGTCCTACAAACTGGGATTTAGCACTTGCAAGGTAAGTTTTCTTATAAAAAAAAGTGAAGTAAAAACCCTAAAGTTGCACAACTTGTTTATAGGCCAAAGAAAATCCACTATTAACTCCACTGCAAAAGAAAAATAGGCTTAGATGGGCTAAAGAACATAGACAATGGACACCTCAAGAATGGTGTGCAATACAATGGAGTGATGAGGCCCGATTCGAAGTTTGTGTTGGTGACAGTCGCAGTAGAGTTATTCGCAAATTTCCAGCATCCATTATGGGCTGGGGCAGTATGTCATCAAAAGGAGTAGTAAAACTTCATTTTATTGATGGAAATGTGGATACAAATAAATATTTGGCAATTTTAGAAGAATCGCTTTTACCAGTGATGGAAGAATGCTTGACATCCGGCCAAGATTTTGTGTTTCAGCAAGATGGTGCAGCGTGCCATACCTCAAAAAAGGCTATAAAATGGATGGAAGAAAATAATGTACCACTTTTGAAATGGGTTTCTAGCAGTCCAGATCTGTCACCTATTGAAACTTTGTGGCACGAGATGAAAAAGGTTCTACGACAACATCCTGCTCGTACAATCATCGAACTGAGACAGAAGCTTCAAGAAATATGGGATTGTTTTACACCAAATTTTTGCCAAAACTTGGTTAACACTATGCCCCAAAGAATTTCAGCTGTAATAAAAAATAAAGGTGATGTTACCTAATAGTAATCTTTCAATTGTTGCTTTGTTAACTTCGCGCATTTATCCGCACATTGTTTATTTCTTCAGGTGTTCTATTAGTTATAGGTCTAAGTGATTTCAGATGTGTATTTTTTACGACTAGAGTGTATCTGAAATGTTTTTGAGAAAATAAATTGTTTTAGAAGTAAATAGTTTCGTCATGTTTAGTTTATAAAGGCATATTTTGGTACAAATCTTGAAGTGGGCCAGCTGAAGTGGGAAGGGGCTCGTACGTAGTTGACTCTGAAAAGGATAGTTCCAACTTTCAAGATTATATTATGCAAAGGTAAACTTAAAGCGCACTCCCATGACAAGTGCCTTGTTACACTAAAAGTGACAAGCATGGATGAGAAATAATCATATAATGGCGAGATGAAACTATAGAACGTGTGTCCGAAAACTTACACCAGCTTACGCATTCAAGCGTTTGCGTACAGAGTACAGAGGCAGATGGCATATGTACGTGTGAGAGAGATGGAAGTATGAATGCGATACCAGTAGTTTTACCACGACCCGCTAAAAACCGTGAAAAGATCTATAGTTTTCAGATAAACTGTAACGGTTTCACCGTCCGATTGTATTTATTAAATCACTTCTCGATTTTCATTTCAGAATCGCAACTCATTAATCCCATCTCTAGCTCATCCCATCTCTAGCTTTTTTACTTAGAAACATTTCCGCGCTTCCTTTTCACTTGAGCCGCCGATCTAACAAGAGCTGAGAATTTTGTTCTCTGTAGCATGAGGTCATATAGCACCATGTGCTAGCATTTTGTAAAATGTGTGTCCAAATAGGATAAAATGATTGGGGCCACCCCCTTTGTCTTTGACTTTGCCTTTGCCTTTGTCTTTGACTTTGCCTTCCTTTGTCTTTGACTTTGGCTTACCTATTGCTTAACCTATCACTTTGCCGTGCCTTCACCCATGCATGTGATTTGGCTGCGCCATCACTTACAGCTTCATCTTTGATGAAGATCACGTTTAAGTTCAACTTCACTGCATCCTTCGCCTACAACTAGTTTTGAAGCCACTGAATATGAGGTCACCCCTCATAACTGGGACCTCCACTTGAAGCCCTTGGCCATCCTCGCTTCAGTCCAGTCAAAATGGACCAGCTTAGCGAAAGATAAGTGAATAGTTTTGTAACAGCGCCAAAGATTTAAAACTTTTATTTTGTTCTAAAAAACTTTAACAATGTTAATTCTCAAATGTAATGAAATTGCTTTTCTAGTTTAATAAAATCTGTTAAATTTTTGTGTTCTGTTTGTTGTTCTATCCTCTAGCCATGCCATGGTCGACACACAGCTACACGCCTGTAGATGTCTTCATGCCACCGACTGAGCTACCGGAAGCTAATAGTAACCCCCTTTCTGTGATTGTGCAGAAAAGTTGGAATCTTCATTGCATTCCATCTTTTCTGGACTTTTTGCGGAAAGGAAGGCTTACAGAACCATTTGCAATTGTTCAGTCAATGTCGATAGATTTCAGGAACATACAGTAGGAAACCATGGTCTTAACAGTCTGAAAAATTCAAAGAGAACATTTTTCTAAATAATGCAAATCTGCGTGCAGTTCGAAAATACTTAAAAAAATCTAGTGTCGTACTGTAACTCTTAGGGCCGTATCGTCAGTCGTTCCCACAATTGTAGAACGCCTTTATGGCCTCCCTGATTTTCATAGTTTTCTACTGTTTTGAGGTTATGACGCAAATATATATTAGTTAATGCTTTTGACCTATAACATTTGTTTTATCAGCCGGAAGTTTCCTACAATTCAAAAAGAAAACATAACTTCAGAATAGAAGAGCGCTGACGCTGTCACGGAACAGCTGAAATCTAGAAATACCCCAGCCTTGCTGAAGGAGAGAAAATACTATGACCACCACGGAGGGCTGTTCCGTGACAGTGTCAGCGCTCTCCTACTGTGAATTGTCAGAAATTTCAGGCTGATAAACGATATGATATTAATCAAAAGCATGAACAAATTGATGCAAATAGATATTTGTGACATAACCTCAAAATAGAACGATGACACGGAAGAGTAGAAAACTATGAAAAGCAAGGAGGCCATAAAGGCGTCCTACAATTGTCGTGTGTCGTATTTTATAGAACGTTCTAAAGGGACAGGGGTGGCTGGCCCTTAAGTTCTGCAGAGTTGCAGAACTGCTAAAACTTTTGTCTTAACAGAAAAAAAGCAGTAGTAATTTGATCATTATTTATTTTCCATGGTATCACACAAATAGAAACAATACCGGCAACGCTGCCCCCGCAAGACACAGCGTCGAGTCTGTTTTGTTTGTATTGAGAAAGCAGTATAATCGACCAATTGTGTACTTGTCATTTTCGTCGCGACCGCTACGTAACATTATTCATGGGCCACTTGAAAAGGGTCTGTGCACTACTTCGACACAAGCAGCAGGTGCTTGCTTTTGTCTCTCTCTACAAAATCAAATGCGCCATTTAAGCATAGCCATGTGCTGCACGTTATACACCGCGGCGGTGGCGGGAAGCCCAGGTTATAATGCTCACCAAGCCAGGCAATGACCGGAAGTTGCCCCAGAACTACCGGCCCATCAGCCTGGTTTCCTCGATGGGCAAAGTAGTCGAAAAGGCTATCGCCGTTCGACTAGAGAAGCAGGCAGAAGACCTGGAACTTCTCCCACCAGAGCAATTCGGCTTCAGATCCTCCCACAACACGGAACTTCAAGCGCTACGACTGACAGAAAACATCACCAGTGGCTTCAGTTTGGCACGATGGACTCATCGCCAAAATGGAAGCCGCCGGAATCGATGCAAACATGTGCCGACTGATCCAGAGCTATCTAACACAAAGATGGTTCACGGTGAAGATTGGTACATGCCAATCAACAAGACGACAGCTGGAAGCAGGCGTGCCCCAGGAGTCAGCCTTAGCCCCCCTGCTCTACAACATCTACACTCACGACGTACCGAAGACAGCGACACAATGCTGGCCCTACATGCAGACGACACTGCTATAGCCTCCAAGCATCGACGACCCGAGATCATCCGTAGGAGTATGCGACAATCTCCCTGCAGACATTCGCCAGAAAATTTCTGACAAAAGAGCTGCAATTAAGCAAGCGAAGAGGTCTTGTCATCCAGATGACATTCACAGAGCAACGAATCTTATTCATGAAGTGAGAAATGCTCTTCATGAATTCCGTAATGAGCAATGGAGCGACTTTCTGTCGGGGATGCTTGAGTCAAGTATTCCTTTCTGGAAAGTTGCAAAGTCGCTCAGAAACGGAAAGCGAGAACAAGTCCCGCACATCCACGGTCCTAGGGACATAGTCTGTAGGACAGAGGAAAAGGTCGAGGTTTTCGCTGATGCAATGGAAAGTCAGTTCTCTCCCAACTATGACCTTGATAATGACCTCGACGAGGAGCAACATATTGTAAGATCCGTCAGGAGATATTTTAGGGCCAACGGCGTCAGTGGCAGTAGTGCCTCCCTTAGTGATTTGTCCTCAGAGGAATCTTCAGAAGATTCCTCAATTGAAGAGCTGCACGGCACATCAGCGGAATCTCCTGAGACTCCGCATTGCACACCAGCAGAGCTCCAAGGTCATATTAAAGACCTCAAGGTGCGTAAAGCACCTGGAGAGGATCGAATCACTAATAAGGTGCTGAAGCTACTTTCGCGGAAGTCCTTAACTTATCTCGTGGCAATAATCAATGCCATGCTAAGGACCCAGCACTTCCCAAAGGCGTGGAAGACCGCTGATGTCATAATGATTCCCTCAGGATTACCGCCCCATTAGTCTACTGTCAGCTCCTTCTAAGCTCGCTGAAAAGGTGATTATACGTCACCCTGAAAATGTCTCGGCAGACCACAATGTGATTCTTGGCGTGAAATTTGGCTTTCGGTCTGAGCATAGCACGGAGCTACAGGCCATAAGGCTTGTTGAACGAGCAACCAGCGGATTCACCCGTAACGAAGGTACTGGCATCTTGCTACTGGATGTCTCAAAGGCATTTGACAAGGTGTGGCACAAGGGCCTTCTCTACAAATTGATCCATAAAGGCTTCCCCTTCTGGCTCCTAAAACTTCTGAAATCCTTTCTCGAGGGTAGGAAATTTCGGATCAAAATTAATAACGTTCTGTCGACAACACGGGCCATCAAAGCCGGTGTCCCTCAGGGTTCGGTTCTTGGACCAGTCCTTTATTCACTTTTTATTCATGACGTCCCTTGCCCCAGCAGCTGTGAAACCTATCTCTATGCTGATGACACTGCCCTGGTGGCCCAGTCGTGCTCTGGGGATCTAGTTCACGACAGGCTGCAAAGTGCAGTGGACGAGGTATTGGAATGGGCGAATCGGTGGCTGATCAAAATTAATCATTCGAAAACGCAGGCAATCTATTGTACTAAAAAACGTAGCGGCGCCCCGTCTGAGGTTTCAGTGTATGGAGCTCGGGTACCATGGGAAAGCTCTGCTAAGTATCTCGGTGTCACTCTTGACAAGGGGATAACCTGGCAGAAGCACACTGAAGCGTTAAAAACTAAATTCCAAATCTCGTTTCGGCAACTCTACCCTATGCTATGTAGAACATCAAAATTAAGTTTGATCAACAAAGTTCGACTATACAAGACGGTTATTAGACCAGCGATCACTTACGCAAGTGCGGCTTGGTGTTTTCTCGCCAAAACGTATTTGCGTAGCCTGCAGGTTTTGTAGAACAGAACCTTGCGTACAATCACTAACGCCCCATGGTATGTTTCCAACGAGACCCTTCACCGAGACCTTAACATCCCTTACCTAAGGGACTACATCAAACAACAAGCGCAGCTACGTTACAGTCAAGCAGAATCGCATAACAACGCTTTGTTGCGCGAGTCAGTAGACTAAACAGTCGAGCAAGTTCGCAAGCACACAAGGCCGCGACTCGCACTGTGAACAAAATTAAGTCGTGCGACTTTAGGTCCAACCAAAATTATAATGTTTCTTCAACAAAATTAATTTTAGGATCAATTTAAAATTGCCGAATACTAACTAGCAATGCCAAGGCACCCCTCAAATTGATGCACTTCTTTTTTCTTTGCTCTCCCTCCTTCCTTCCTTTCTTCTTCCCTTCTTTCTCCCTGACTTTGTTTGGTATCTGGGCAACCAGACCTGACAGACCTACTGACTTACAAGACTTCAACCAAGAGCAAAGGTCCTACGGACCGCTCTGACAGACAATGACGAATAGTGAGTATGCGACAATATAATGAATTCTGCAAATGACAGATTTCAATTCAAAGATCGTTTGGTAACTACCTGCTTGGCTTATCCCGAATTAGAAAAAAGTCGTTTGAAGACAGAGTTGTCTGTTATTTATGCACGGAATGATTGCTGAGATTTACAGTAAGTGTAGAAAGTATTCGTACACTTGGATTTCTAAGCGAAAGACTGCAAATAGACATCTACATCAAAGTATTCTTTATTCAATCTGATCAATCATTCGAAAACAAAACAAAATAGTCTCTAGAGGAAATAACAACTCACAAAAATCTACCTGGAAGGCGAAAAAAAAGTATTCGTACACATGTGATTTTTCGTCATAAATTGTCAGTCTTGCACATGATACATGAACATCACAACAATGTAGTACTTGGTTGGGTACCCCTTTCCATTCAAAACACTCTCATACCGGTTTGGCACGGAGTCTACCAGCCTAGACGTCAGTGAAGGGGGTATGCGGGTCCTCTCGGTCAGTAAAGCAGTTTTCAGATCCCCTCTCTTAGAGATCTGCCAATTTTCCCTTATTTTTGTCTCTAGGTAACTCCATAAATGTTCTATGGGGTTCAAGTCCGGTGATTGGGGTGGGGTATTTAGCTGCTTGGGGGTGTTGTACAGCAGCCACATCTTCGTATTTGTTGCGGTATGTTTTGGATCGTTGTATTGCTGAAAGATGTAGTCATTTCCTAAACCCATTTTAATCGCACTTTCTTTCAAATTTTGCTTCAATAACTCCATATACTTCTTGTGGTCCATGATGCCATCGATGAAAGCTAAATTACCCACCCCAGAAGCACTCATGCACCCCACACTAAAACAGATCCACCACCGTGTTTTACAGTGGCACACAAATTCTCGGGAGAAAGATCTGTATTTTTCTTGCGCCACACTTTTTTGTTACCATCTGAACCAAAAATGTTATATTTACTCTCATCTGAGTAAATAGTCTTATTTCTGAACTCTGCACTGTCATTTAGGTGCCCCTTGCAAAAGGCGATACGCTTGGCTCTGTTGACTTTCCTTACCCACGGCTTCTTCCGGGGCGCGCACCCGCGATTCCCCTCGCTCCTCAACATGTTGCGCACTGTCGCGATGGACACCTTGGTCCCCCTCTGTGACAGGTCAGCTACAATCTTCGGCGCACTCACTTTTGGGTTCTTTTTGATTGTCCGTACAATCATTCTCTTGTCCTGCTCGCTCAAAACTTTGGGTCGTCCACTCCTGGCCTTGTTTACCAACGTTTTGGTTTCACAGTACCGATCAATTACTGTTTGTACAGTCGACCGGGGTCGTCCCAATAAGTTTGATATAGCACCTAGCGACTTGCACTGGTTATGGAGCCTTAAAATTAACTTTCGCTCCTCTAAACACGTTTGTTTGCCTTTGCGGCCCATGTTTACAGCACAGAATCTGAAACTGAGCAACCTAGGGAGTAGTATCGTCTACCGAATGAGCGAGGTCGCCCTGCGTTCGGATTGTGCGGCTGACTAGCGAGTTTTTAGGCATTATTACGACTGTACGAATACTTTTTTGCGCCCACCAGGCACATTCTTGTGACTTTTTATTATTTTTAGAGTCTATTCTGTTTTGTTTTTGGATTCCATCGATAAAAGTGAATCAAGCAGAATCTAATGTACATATCTATTTTCTTTCGGATGTCTAACACCAATAAATTAGGCGAGATATGGTATTTTTCGTTATGGAAACCAGGTGTACGAATACTTTTTACACTCACTGTACATGGAACTCTGTCTCTTTTGAAATTTTCGATACAAAATAGTTTGGAGAAAACACTAATAGAAGCAAAGAAGGCAGCAGCGGTGGCCGCAGTAGTAGACTCTTCGGTCTCCTGATCAGTCGCCGTACGCTGTGCGGGTTCGAGTCCCGTCCCAGGAGAAATGTTTCTCTTGGCTATGAATGTTGTGATTGTCCGTAGGTGGTAGACGGTTTCTGACTGTCGAACGCGGAGGTACTACCCGGCGGATCTCGTAGGCGGAGCCAGAATGTGTGCATGTTGCATGCACACGTGTTCCCTCGCCAGAGTCCGTGTGGCGTTCCCCCTTTCCCCTGTATCCCCTTATAGCCCCACGGTACCCAATGGGAGTTTAGACCTTAGGCCTTCGTGGTAGTTGGAGTATAAAAAAAAAGAATCTATTAGAAATTATTGTCAACATCAGAGGCTGAGCGACATTTCTCAACATTGAAAAGAACCAAGACTTTTCTTCGTAATACTATGACCCAGGATCGCCTTACAGCGTTGTCGATGCTGTCCATTGAAAAGAAATTTATTTCGACCATGACAAATTTCAACGGGAAGGTGATCGACAAATTTGCTGCCAAGAAGGAGCGCAGGATCGAACTGACATATAAAAAATGGGTAAGTTCGGATTTGCAGAACACCTGTTTTATTTTGCCACGAGCCGCCACTGTAAAGGGATATCCAAGTTTAATGTGCATGAAAATGTAAGGTGGGAAGTATTTTGCGCGTCACTTACACTCAGCCCTGTTGCGAAATCTATATTAACTACACCACCAGCTGCGATTTTTACTCCTTTCTGACCAAGCAGTATCATGAAAAAAGCGGACTGGCCTCTGTACCTCGATTTGTACCAATTTGTTTGGTATATTATTTCACTAACTTTGTCAGCCTGCAATTGAAAACCGCTGTAAGTTCATATCATGGTATCAAACAAAAATGTGATTCAAGTTACAGAATTATGACTCCAACAAATCTATGAATATTTGATGATGAAAATCATGTGCAGCTATGGAAGTTGTGGCCAATCGATTGCTCCCAAAGACACTTCTTTAAGCCGGATAGCCGAAACGAACGTATTACCATTTTTTATCGAAACCAAATTTTAATAAAGAAGTCCTTGTCTATACTGAGTGACAAACAAAGGTAAACACTCACTCTAGGCATTTTGAGCAATCACAAAAAGGCTTCTCATTAAGCTACACGAAATTTAACATTTAACTGACACCGTAAATGTACGAAAACTGGATGCTTCGTTATCAATAAACAATACATGCAGCCACCACAAAAACTTAACAGAAAAACCTGACCATTTTATCACTTGTCGTTCATGGCAAGATAAATCGATTGTAAAAATTCTTGAATTCTAATAAACACACGTAGGTGTTTACCTTTTTTTGTCACTAAGTTTAAGATAAGAAACATCGGCATGGGGTCTCAATACCTGTGGGAAATACAGCTTAGGTTAAATTAGGAAAAAGTTGCGTTATTTCTGGCGTCGACGTCAGAAGTCGACGTCAAGCCGAATCCGGGTGATAGGCAAAGTCATAACAGCTATCAGAAAAATATTTAAAAAAATTTTATGTATGTTTTTTGCAAATTATAGGTCTTTGAAAAAGATATAGAAATTTCACACCCTACGGCAGTCTGTCAACTCCTGTTACTATAAATATTAACTTTTTTTGGATTTTATTTTTACAATGTAATGATGAGTAATGCATCTTCAAACTGGTGTCTCAACCTTACTGCCAACTTTTCTCGTTCAGGAAAAATTGCCACTTATTTCCCAACCAAGTATTCCAAAGTAAAACTTTGCTCAACTTTAACTGGCTGTACTGGAAAAAATGTACTACGAGAGTTTGGCAAGTAACCTTAAAAGTTGGCACATTTAATAACGATTCCAAAATGGTATAACACTTAGAAGATTACTCGTTAACTTATGCACAATTTTTATTTGAAAAAAAACTGATGAAAATTTTTCAAAATTGCCTAATTAAACAGCGATTATGAAAACGCACAAGGACCCTTAAGGATAACTGTTTGCACAACAGTGGGCGTCAAAATGCTGCTGATGATGATTTACCTTTACAGCAAATGCCCAAACTGTTTTCCTTCAGCCGCAATACACGCTCAACATTTTCTTAAAAAAGATCGGGTTATTAAACGAGCGAATCCACGGTGATTAACAAACTCAGCTGCTTCCAATAGTCTTTGGCGTAGCTCAGCTACATTTTGAATCGGCTTGAAATACACTTTTTCTTTTACAGTTCCCCAGTAAAAAAATCTAAAGGATTCAAATCAGCCTTATATATCTGCCTGGAAAGTTTTGATCGAGATACTCTCTCACTGAGAGTGCATAGTGCGCTGGGCAGCCATCATGCTGAAACCACATGTCCCTGTAAATGCTCAGTGGCATGTCCATCAATAAATTTTGTACATGATTTTTCAAAAAATCCAAATAAACTTCAGCAGTCAAAGTCTCTGGGAACTCAAACGGATGGATTATTTTACCATTTAAAATTCCTGTCCAATAGTTTATCTTGAAGCGATATTGAGATGTATCTTCTCTCATCAAATGTGGGTTTGCTACGTGCCACTCGTGTAAGTTATGCAGGTTCATGTACCCATCTTTCTTAAATGTGGTCTAATCCGACCATAAATTTTTTTCAAAGAACTGTGGATCTTTCCTGTGTCTTTCTAACATTGTGCGGCAAAAAGCAACTCGGGGCTCATAATCCCGGGGCAGGAGAGGTTGAACACGCTGTATGTGGTATGGATGAAGCACATCACTTACTTGCTATTGCACACTTTGATACCGATCAGTACTCCTTCGTTTACTGCGCATCTTTACATGTTCGTGCTTCTTGATTTCGTACTGTTACTAATTTTGGATTCGTGAACTGGACTGTTGATCGCTTGTGATTTGGATTTGGACTGTTTAATTGCTCTTCAAAACAACATTTGCTTTCCTTAGACTATCTTTGATAGTGTGATTGTGCAGTGCCGCTATGTCCGTGTACACCGTACAAGAATATGCTAACATGCACCTCATTTATGGGGAATGCAGATGCAACGCTAGTGCTGCAGCGAGACTTTACTGTGAGAGGTACCCGAATGCAGCTCGTCATCCAGATCATCGAGTGTTCACAAATGTGCACCGCTTACTGTTCTCAGAGGGCCAACTACCAAACCAATCACACGGTGAGGGAATATCTTTCCTTCCTTACGAAGACGTGGTGCTAGGAGCTGTCGAGTACTTCAGTGCGTGCAATAGAACTAAAAACAGGTGTGCCCAAAAGTACAGCCCATAGAATCTTGCAAAAAAAAACGTGCTCCATCCATACCACGTACAGCGTGTTCAAGCTCTTCTGTCCCGGGATTATGAACCCCGAGTTGCTTTTTGTCGCACAATGTTAGAAAGACACAGGAAAGATCCATAGTTCTTTGAAAAAATTTTATGGTCGGATGAGACCACATTTAAGAAAGATGGGTACATGAACCTGCATAACTTACACGAGTGGCACGTAGCAAACCCACATTTGATGAGAGAAGATAAATCTCAATATCGCTTCAAGATAAACCATTGGATAGGAATTTTAAATAGTAAAATAATCGGTCCGTTTGAGTTCCCAGAGACTTTGACTGCTGAGGTTTATTTAGGTTTTTTGCAAAATCATTTAGAAAATTTATTGGAGGACGTGCCACTGAGTATTTACAGGGACATGTGGTTTCAGCAAGATGGCTGCCCAGCGCACTATGCACTCTCAGTGAGAGAGTATCTCGATCAAAACTTTCTAGGCAGATGGATAGGGCGGTCTGGTACAATACCGTGGCCAGCCCGGTCACCAGATTTGAATCCGTTAGATTTTTTTTACTGGGGAACTGTAAAAGAAAAAGTGTATTTGAAGCCGATTCAAAATGTAGCTGAGCTACGGCAAAGACTATTGGAAGCAGCTGAGTTTGTTAATAACCGTGGATTCGCTCGTTTAATAACCCGATCTTTTTCAAGAAGATGTCGAGCGTGTATTGCGGCTGAAGGAAAACAGTTTGAGCATTTGCTGTAAAGGTAAATCATCATCAGCAGCTTTTTGACGCCCACTGTTGTGCAAACAGTTATCCTTAAGGGTCCTTGTGCGTTTTCATAATCGCTGTTTAATTAGGAAATTTTGAAAAATGTTCATCAGTTTTTCTTCAAATAAAAATTGTGCATAAGTTAACGAGTAATCTTCTAAGTGTTATACAGCCAGTTAAAGTTGAGCAAAGTTTTAGTTTGGAATAATTGGTTGGGAAATAAGTGGCAATTTTTCATGAACGAGAAAAGTTGGCAGTAAGGTTGATACACCAGTTTGAAGATGCATTATTCATCATTACATTGTAAAAATAAAATCCAAAAAAGTTAATATTTGTAGTAACAGGAGTTGACAGACTGTCGTAAGGTGTGAAATTTCTATATTTTTTTCAAAGACCTATAATTTTCAAAACACAAACATAAAATTTTTTTAAATATTTTTCTGATAGCTGCTATGACTGACTATCACCCGGTTTTGGCTTGACGTCGACTTCTGGGACACCCTGTATATACTCGTACACACCGTTGAGAAACTTGCAAATATTACATGGCTTACTGAGACATTTGGGAAAAACTAAAATTTCGCTGAATCATCTTCATTTAAGGAATATCAAAAAACCAGTGAAACTTTGCTATTGCCACTTCTTGGCACTATATGATGGTATTTTTAAATTTTGTGCCCGATGGTTCGTTTTGGAGAAACCATCGTCAACTTTAAAAAAATGCTATCACATACAGGGTGTACTTTTATTTCGGTCCATATAAAAAATAAATTTGTAAATGGTTTTTCAAAAACGTAACGACGAAGTAAAATTTAAAAACTCCATCATGTAGTGCATAAAAAGTGCCAATGATGCAGTTCCATTAGTTTTTGATATTTTAGAAATAACGACAGAAAAAATAAAAAGGATTCGGCCAAATTTTAGTTCTTTCCAAATACCTCAGCAAGCCATGCAATTTTTACCAGTTTCTCAACGTAAATACGCTTCAAAGAATGCAGCATTTTCGTAATTCAACCTAAGCTATATCTCCCACAGGTATTAGGATCATCATGGACATGATCCTTATCTTATTATATACATACGTATACAGCAAATTTATTATTTACCTGATTTATTAGGAATTGTACTGGGAAGCAGTAACAAGACAAAAACTCATATAGACCCGAAGTTGTATATAGTATAGATTCTGCAAACGTTTTCCAGTCGGAGCTGAAACGAAAATTACTTATCTACGCATTACTTTATTGTACTAGGAGTAGTAGGAGTATACTAACAGCAATAGTAGTGAAGACAACGTACACGAAAAGTGATTTCACGTATTGGTGCGTTGGACAAAATTAAAAGTAACCAAGGTGATAGAATAAGAAAGAAACACTCTCTAGTGGACTAGACAGTGCTTTTGGACTCCAAACGGGCGTTTGGAACTATTGCCAGAGATAAATTACTTAAACAATGTGGATTTCAAGGATCTGTATTCAAAATTCTACAAAACTACTTAATTAACTGAAGTTAAAAAAAACAAAATTGGATCTAAAATATCAAGATTAAAAAATATCTCGGTAGGTGTACCACAAGGTAGTAAACTAGGACCACTACTATGTATTTTATTCATTCATGACATTTGTGATATTATAGATTATTATAAAATTCAAATATTTGCAGATGATACATAAATGTACATATCAGATGGAAATATAAACACTGCTTTAAAAATGCTAAATGCTGACTTGGCAAAAATCATAAATTGGCTAAATGTAAATAAACTAATAAATGCTTCTAAAACAAAATATATATATGCTAACACGGTAGGATACATTATTTCAAAAATTGCCGAAAAAAAAATTACTTTTATAGGGCTCCTCATAGTCTTAGTACATATTCCAAAAAATAGTTTATAATACAATTATTATACCGCATTCACTATATTGCTCAACTATCTTGTTCACTGCCAATGAAGTTGTATTTTCAAAATTGCAAGTTCTCCAAAATAAAGCTATGAGGATAATATTGAATAAAAATAAGTAAACCGAAATAAACCTATGTTACAAGAATTGCAGTGGGTAAATATAAAAAATTTGAGGTCATATTTAGTCCTTATCTTTATATTTAAGATAAAAAATCATCTTTTGCCACAACATTCAGAACACTACATAGAAATGAATAATCATTACCATAATTATTAAACAAATTTTGATTTACAAAATTGAAATAGTAATATAACTAGCAAATCAATATTTCAGAAATGATTACTTGAATTTTATAAACTAAATAATGATATACAGTCTATTTGTAATCTAAAATGTTTAGAAGAAATTTAAAAGAATTTTTCAAGGTCAGTGAAAATTTTTAGAGATGCAAATGTAGTTTTTCTGAATATCTGTATGTTATGTAATTATTGGAGCTTTTTAATAGAATATAATTGTATGCTAAATAAATCTTAAACAAACAAACGTGTACAATTTTTTTTGCAAAATTATAGTGGTGGACAAAACAGCGTCTGTTAGTAAATTCACCGAAACATAAATTCCTCAAATTGTGTCATGCCACTAAGTTTTTTTGGTTATTTATCATGTTAGAAAATGAACTTACTCTGGGCAGGTTGATCTGTACATTTCTAGACACATGGTTATCAAAATTATGCCAAAAAATAGAACCAGCCTCATCGAGAACACTTCATTTATTCGTCTCATATAGCTGAAACAAATCTAAATATCGGACAAAGGAAAACAATCAAAAACATACTAAAGCAATTTTATGCTCTTTTCCGAACTCATGAAATAAAATTTGGATGAAAACCAGAATTCTGAAACGGCTAGCCTCGTACTTGAAAAATCTACTACTTTTCAGTTTTTATCAGAAAATTTCGGTATCCACACATAATATACAGTGACATATAAAATGCAACACCCAGAATTATACTAAGTGACATATAAATCCGAACACCCAGTTTAAATGGTTTTATTTTAATAAAAGTTGGTGAATGTATTTATCTCACTGTAAATAACAAGTGAAAAAATTTTCAGCCTTACCAGTTGGACATTCCGGTTTTTATACTGCTTTTTTTTAGTTCACTAACGCTCTAAAAATGAATATTTCAGCCGCAGTAAAGAATCAACGTTGGCGGATTTTGGTTCTTGACATCCTTTACGATCGGTTACGATGCCTAGAGTACGGAGACCTGTACGATTTCGTCAACTTAGTGAGTTTGATAGGGGCCGGATAGTGGGACTTCGGGGGGCTGGACTTTCTTTTCGGGCAATTGCAGTTAGAGTGCAAAGAAGTGTAGACACTGTGGTTAGGTGTTATCAGGCATGGCTTCGAGAAGGCCGTACGCAAAGAGCAAGAGGCACTGGACGCCGCCGTAGAACAACAGATCGTGAAGATCGCCGCCTAAGATTATTGGCCTTAAGGGACCGTTTCTCCACTACCAGGTCCATTGCAAATGAATGGTTTGCAGAACACGGAAGACCTATTGGCATGCGGTGTTTACCGACGAGTGAGAAGTTTTGGCTTGTTTTCATACCGGCCACACTGGGTCCTCCCTTTAACTCGAGAACACCGACGTAATCGCCTTGAGTGGTGCAGACAGCGGTCACTCTGGGATCAGGAATGGAACAGTGTTGTCTTTAGTGACGAGTCTCGATTTTGTTTAGGCATGCACGATGGTCGTGCCAGGGTTAGAAGGCGACGTGGTGAAAGGAGGAATCCACAGTTTTTTGTTGAAAGACATGTTCATCACACTGTTGGAGTTATGGTTTGGGGTGCTATAACTTATGGTGCCAGGTCACCTTTAATCTTCATCAGAGGTAACATGAACGCGCAGCGTTATATCCACGAAGTTCTAGAACACCATCTTTTACCCTATCTTGACACCCTGGCAGATCCAACTTTCCAACAAGATAATGCCCGACCACATGTTGCAAGAGTCACAATAGACTTCTTTCAACATAATGATGTCACATTGTTACCATGGCCATCAAGATCTCCCGACTTATCCCCAATTGAGCACGTGTGGGATATGATGGGTAGGAGATTGCTCAATTCGCAACGTCCTCCTCAGACTCTAGAAGCACTTCGAGAGGAGTTGGTGGTTGCCTGGAATGAGATACCACAGGAGGACTTTGACCACCTTATTAGAAGCATGCCTAGGCGCGTTGGAGAATGCGTAGCTCATCAGGGTGCATCCACACATTATTAAAGGTCAAAGGGCTTTAAAGCAGTGCAATCATTTTGAAATTTTTATCATTTACTTATTATGCTTCATTAAGTACTTATACAAAATTTTATTAAAATAAAACCATTTAAACTGGGTGTTCGGATTTATATGTCACTTAGTATATTTATTGAATTTTGATAAAAACTTGGAAACATATTTGCTATCATGAAAGTATACGCTGATAAAGCGTTGAAGGCATTCGGAGCCCTACGTTTTTGAGAAGACTTTTTTGTCATATCAGGATTCGAACAATATGAACATGTTTACTTGACATTCAGTTATTTTTCTGTATTGGTTCCATTTGTTTCATTACTGTTCGAAATTACGAAATAAAATTTTTATCACTTTCTATTTATCAGTAAACCAAAAACTTGTAAAAGTATGCTCAAAATAACAGCACTCCTAGTCGGTTGTGTCATTTAGTATACTGGGTCTCCCGAAAAAAGTGTGCAATATTCTACCAGCGGTTTGTAGAGCTTAAAATAGGAAGAAAAAGTTTATACAAACATAGGTCGACAATCGTCCCCTAAGGGCGCTACGGTCTTTTAAAGGGGCTCCACTGAAGATGGTTTTTCCTTAATATTTCCGAAACGTGTTGAGATAAAAACATACAATTTGGTATTCTAGCCTAGTTTTTTATGCTGAATTTAAAAATATTAACAATTTTAGGCAGTTTTGTTTGGAAGCATAGGTAATAGGGACGAACTCAGGTTATTTTAGTCCCAAAATTTTTGTGTGATTCTATTTTTGAAATTCAATTTTAGAATTTGAAAATTTAGGGTTTTCTACATAAAAAAGGTACTCTTACTGAATATCGATACATTGTGCCATTTTTTAATAAAATCAAACTAAAAAATTTGTCACATGATAGGCAATGTACTGCGAGTTTAAATGAGTTGTTGATTATACATAGTTAGCCATGACTGCAAACAAAAGCTGTTTTGACATTAAGCTGACATTGTTAGCAGTGTAAAATTACTAGATTAAAATCAAAATTTTTATTAAATCGATTTAAAATGCCAAGATTTTCAGACAGAGAACTGACTGACATGCATTTTGTGTACGGGTTTTGCAATGGCACCTGGACGTCGAATGTTTACTGATATTCACCGGAATTTGTCAAACCATGGAAGTTTTCAGCGCATGCAGGGCTCAGGAAGGTTACTGGGAAATTATCGTATGGATATTGCTTTAAATATGTTTGAAAATAATCCGCAAATAAGTATACGAAATATTTCAGAAATTATGGATAATACCTCGATCAATAGTAAAAAAAATTATCAATACCTATTTGATAGTTATCCTAAAAATAATAATTTTAGATAGGAAGAATTACAAGAATGCAAGGATTACATTCTTATCATTTTAAACGGATGCAGCATGTAGCAGAGGCAGATTTTTTTACCACGATTCGAGTTTTGCCAGTGGATATTAGCAAATGAAAACTCTATTCCTAGAATGTTATGGTCGGATGAGTCAATATTTACTAGGAATGGTGCTTTTAATTTCCATAACATGCATCACTGGTCAGATGAAAATCCAAAAGTAGTTCGCCGTACAAATTTCCAACATAGATTTTCATTGAACTTATGGGCAGGAGTAATTGGGGATCAAGTAATTGGGCCTATTGTACTTCCCAATCGTCTTAATTCAGAGGTGTATCTGAACTTTCTTCAGAATGAGCTCATGGATATAATACCATTGGATGTGCGCCAGCAGTTTCAAGAAAATTTGTTTTTTCAACAGAAGAAAGAAGAAATTTACTCGTCGCTTATCAAGCCAAAAGAGCAAAGATAAATTTTGTTTGGCTAAAAGGGCATGCTGGCATCAAAGGCAACGAGATGGTTGATAAAGCTGCAAAAAATGCAATTCACTCTAGTACGAATACCCATGTGCCACTTTTTTCTGATTTATTCATAGAGATCAGAGGTAACATCATGAGAAGATGGGATTTGATCTGGTCTAACTTTGTAGTAAACTCTCGAAATCGATATGCTCTTATACGCCCGACCCTTCCCAATATAATTCCCCACATAAATCTCTTCTATATGAATAGAAGATTCTCCAAAATTATAACGAGATTGAGATTGGGTCATGGTTGCTTTCCTGCTCATCTTCATCGAATAGGCGTAATAGAGTCCCCAAATTGTGCTTGTGATGAATCTTCTATAGCCGATCTAAATCACATATTTTTTGCTTGTAATCTTTACACCAATATCTCCAACCAATTAATCGCTCAGATGATTAAACTTGGCTTCCAACTACCTTTAAGTCTGACCACCATTTTATCCTTTCCGGATATAAAAATTTATTTAGCTCTAATTCAATTCCTTAAAAAGGCAAATATTACTATATAAAATAAACCTTGTCTGGAATTCGTAACTATTCAGTTATATCCACTCCTTTTCTTTCTTTCTTACCATCTCTCACAATGATCAGATAATATAAATCCATTGACATTTTGTGGCAAATGGACTCCAGTTTCCAATGCCAATATTTTGACACACACACACAAAATTTGTTTTTTCAACATGATGGCGCTCCTGCACATTTTGGACGCAATGTTCGAAATTGGTTGAATGTCAATATTCCAGACAGGTGGTTAGGTCGAGGAGGTCCCATAGCGTGGCCGCCACGTTCACCTGACCTAAATCTATTGGATTTCTATTTTTGGGGGTCATTAAAAGACCTAGTTTACTCGACCGAAGTAAATACTCAAGAAGATTTACTTCAAAGAATCCATTAGGCTACAAATGAAATAAGAAGAAAAAGGTTTTCCACTTTTCGGGCTACGCAATCATTAGTTCGTCGAGCGATACTCTGTATCCAACATAATGGGAATTTATTTGAACACTTATTGTAAAGTTAGTTTCAAGTATATCCAACTGTATGTCTTCTTTTTTAAACAAATTTCAATTTCGTTCGTAGAAATATTTATTTCTTTTGTTTTTGCCTAAATGTTAGCTATGTTGCAATAGAAATATGTATTTATGTAATATTTACCAATCATTAAATTAGTTTTTTCGTTGCCATGGCTAATTTTATTCAACAATTCATTTAAATTCGCAGTACATTTCCTATCATGTGACAAACTTTTTAGTTTGTTTTTATTCAAAAATGGCACAATTTATTGATATTCAATAAGAGTACCTTTATCATGTAGAAAACCCCAAATTTTCAAATTCTAAAATTGAACTTCAAAAATAGAATCACACAAAAATTTTTGGGCTAAAATAACCTGAGTCCGGCCCTGTTACATACGCTTCCAAACAAAACTGTCTAAAATTGTTAATATTTTTAAATCCAGCATAAAAAAACTAGGCTAGAATACCAAATTTTATGTCTTATCTCAAGAAGTTTCGGAAATACTAAAGAAAAAACATCTTTAGGGGAGCCCCTTTAAAAGACCGTAGCGCCCTTAGGGGAAGTTTGTCGACCTATGTTTATATAAACTTTTCTTTATATTTTAAGCTCTATAAACCGCTGGTAGAATATCGCACACTTCTTTCAGGACACCCTGTATATTTGAAATTGATTTACTTCAGTAAAAAACTGTGATGCCTGATACACCTCCTTATCGTTCTCTCAACGTCTTTACCCTCAATCTCATCTTGGACCACATTTTGTAGCTCCTCATTCAACAGAAGGAATTGCATTGTTGTAAGAGTGATTACGCTCATGAATAACATGTCTACTGGTATTAGAGTAAACAGGGTGATGGTCGTTCCGCAAATGTTCACAACACATAGAAGTTGGTGATACGTAAGCCATGGTGGTCGGTAGCACTCATAGCTGAGAACTTCTCCTAAAATAATAAGAATAACAGTAATCTTCATTTGCAAATAATAAATGGTTAGAATATTCTAATTTCAATGTTAGCTTATATCACATGAATATACGAAGCCTAAACCAAAATTTTTACTGTTTTAATATCTTCCTAACTACAATTAAACACAAATTTGATATAATAATATTAACAGAAACGTGGAAAATTAATGATGTATCTTTGTTCTGTTTGGAAGGTTATGATACGCTTTACAATGATGGTACGTACAACCAGAATGATGGGGTGGTAGTATATGTAAGAAATGATATCAACTACAGATGTGATTTTGTTAAATTTGATGATGGTATCACAGTGTTGGATTTGATATTGAGAATTAATAAAAAAAGTGTAAAAGTCACATCTGTCTATCGACCACCATCATCAAACCCTTATACATTTGCAGAAAATCTTGAAAAATTTTTGTTAGATAACAAAAATGCCATACAGTCACACCGCATCATAATAGGAGATATGAATATTAATATACTCCAACATACCAAATTAGTAAACAAATACCTCACAGAAATGCAGAGCAATGGATTCATATCAAATATAAATTTGCCAACAAGAGTAGTCAATAATAGTTCCAGTTCTTGCATTGATCATTGTTTCATCAAAAATTTTTCAAATTTCTTTCGGTACATACCGTTAATTGTTGAAAACCATATTACCGATCATTTACCCACTGTAATACTTATATCATCACCAGAAACAAATAAAAGTAGATCCATCTCCAATAATGAAACAGTGAAATTTAGGTGTTTTGTCGATAATAAAAAACTATTTGCAAATATCAAATTAGAATCGTGTACTGTGCAACGAATGTTAATGATGCTGCAAACACACTCATTGAACGCATAAAATATTTAATTGAATGTAGTACAAACAGAGTTAAAATTAAACATTTTGACAGAAGCAGGAATCCCTGGATAACTAAAGGTGTGATAAAGTATTTTATCAATCTAGTTAGAGAAGCAAAACGCCAATTCTATCTAAAAAAATTACAAGATGCCAAATCTCATCCAAGAAAACTGTGGTCAGTTGTCGATCACTTAACTAACAAAGACGTTCAAGAAAAGGCAAATATTGATGAAATTAAGAATCGTGATGGAACAATATTAACAGATAAACGACAAATATCCGATGCATTCTTAAATTTTTTCACTAATGTTGGAGAAAATTTAGCATCCAGTATTAAAAAAATGGTTTCGAACGAAAAGATCACAAAAACCCAACTTCCCAATTCATTCTTTTTAGAAAGCGTTAGTCCGATTGAAGTACAAGAAGCTGTCCTATCACTTAAAACCAAAAAAAGTCCTGGTGTAGATGGTATCAAAGCTGATCATTTAAAAATAATAGCCTACGACTTAGCCGAACCACTTTCTTACGTCATTAATTGGTGTTTCCAATCTGGAATTTGTCCTGATGCATTTAAAGCAACTGTTATTACTCCTGTTTATAACAGCGGTGACAGAATGGAAACATCAAATTATAGACCCATATCAGTACTATCGAATATAGCCAAAATTTTCGAAAAATTACTACAAAAAGGATATTACAATTTTTGGACAAAAACAAAATTATATGTTCTGACCAATATGGATTTAGAAAAGGAAAATCTACTACAGATGCAATTTTGGCTGCAATGGATGAAATTAACTCTAATGTCAACAAAAAGATACCTACTATTGATATCTTTGTTGATCTAAAAAATGCCTTTGATACGGTTAACCATGTCGAGCTTCTGAAAGTTATGGAAAGATTGGGATTTAGGGGAGCGTCACAAATCCTTTTAAAAAATTACCTTTCAAGTCGGGCACATACTGTCAAAATCACTAACACTTACAGTAAAAAAATGTACATCAAGTGTGGTGTGCCTCAAGGAACAGTACTAGGCCCACTATTATTTAGTCTCTACTAAAATGACTTATTCAAAATTAACAGTTCTGGAAAGATTATATGTTTTGCAGATGACACCCTCGTATTATATAAAGCTGATGACTGGAGCACACTGAAGCAAATAGCTGAAAAGGATTTTATAAGGATCACTGACTGGTTTGATACTAAAATTTTAACAGTTAACTTCAAAAAAACAAAATTTATTGCATTTACATCCTATTCAAAATTTTTACCTACCTTCGAACAAACTTCCGTTAATTATCATGGCCAAAAGACCAAAATCGATAGAGTTAACACTTTGAAATATTTTGGAATATTTATAGACTCACATCTAAGGTGGGATAACCATATTAAATATGTTATCAAAAAAATTAGAAATGTTGCCTATTAACTCAAAATGCTTGCTAACATTCTTACAGAAAGTTATCTGCGAATCCTATACCATGCCTTAGTTGAAACCCATATAATATACGGCATCACAGCCTGGGGTGCCGCCTGCAAGACATATATTTCTGACCTGAATATAGCACAAAAAACTGTTTTGAAAGCCATTTTCCATAAGCCAAGATTATATCCAACGAACAAGTTATATCAAGAAACAGGGATACTTGATACAAGACAACTTTATTTCTTATATGCCACCACCTTATACCATAAGTATTGTAATAAAAAGAAAAAATCCTATAATCACGAGCATAATACACGATTTCGAATAGGCTCATCTAATATCCAAAGACCACACAAAACATTATTCAAAAAATCATTTAAATTCTTAGCAGCTAAATTATACAATGTAGTACCAAACGAAATAAAGATACTTAATTTTGGAAAAAAATTTAGAAGAAAATTGAAAGACTGGGTTAGTAATGTGCAGCGAATGACTATACATAATTATATAGAAAACTAAAACTACAAAATTCCAATTACATTAATACCTTTTAGATTTAACAATAATTGTTATACACATATATGATTGATTGTTAGTTATTAAGATATAAACCACACACAGGCGATGCCTTCTGTGGTTTTTTCATATTTATTTGGCCATTTTTTGTATTTTGGCGAATAAATATTATTATTATTATTATTATTAAATACAAATGCTATACAACAGCTGTAAACCACTTGTGATACGAATAGTGCTGAGCGGAAACTGAAGGGTTACGTTTTTTCTTCTAAAGAAATTCAAACATTTCGTATTTGCAAGGAATTGAACAGATTCGCTACGATATTCGAAAGACGTACGTTATTATAGATATTTTAAAACCTTTTGTTGCGAAGAAAAAAAAAATGTTTTCAAGATTTCTCCATACCCTTGTGTATACATTTAGTGCTGAAATTTTTACACCGTCACAAATGAGCCTTAAAGTTTATGAAAGCAATATTTACTACAGAAATGCACTGAACTGTTTATAAAGTTAGCACGCAAGCTGAAGACACAATTGTTTCAAACTGTCTTAGACTAGCTAGTAGGTAGCATGTGCTAAATGGCTGCATTATTGATGACTGCATGACTTTGTCAAATAAGTAGGTCGCGTAATCCAGTTTCTTTACGAAGAAATGTAATTCCCTGGACCTTTTTTCTAAAAGTATTAATATGGTATACGTCGGTTTTTGAAATCTCGTGCGATTAAAACGACTGCGAGTTCAAAACGTTGGAAAATAAACTCGAGAAACGAAAAAATAGTAGACAAATATCAACCAATTGTAGAGAACTGACCGTCTTAAAAAATAGGCAAAATGCTCGGTATTAGTCCCTAATACATTGTTTAAAGCTCCAGCATTGTAACTTGTATAGTTTTCAACAGTATTCTAATTGTTTATAACAGATTTGATATGTCTCCAACGTTCGCTTGACATTTGACAGTATCAAGTATAGTGGTATGAAGATCGAGTAAAGCAAGAGGCGGCCTGGGAAGGATTAACGATTGCAGAACCGCAGGACGAAGCTCCTTTTTTCTATTAACTTTATTGTAAATTTGGAGAAATAAATGCTTTTTCACATTACATGTACTTTTTTTTTGAAAAACGCTCAGAACCGTCGATTTCGAGGGGGACACAAGTTTGGCAAAAAATCACATTAGCACGTGCAGCCCCCTAAGCGGGGGTGACACCACCCCCAAAATCTTAAATGGAAAGGGGGGGTCGAGTGATACTTTATTTTAAAGGTCTTTCAATTCCCTTTCAACAAGACGACAGCTGGAAGCAGGCGTACCCTTAGCCCCCCTGCTCTACAACATCTATACTCACGATGTGCCGAAGACAGCTGACACAATGCTGGCCCTATATGCAGAGGACACTGCTATAGCCGCCAAGCATCGACGACCCGAGATCATCCGTAGGAGACTACAGGATGAACTGGACCACATCCAGGACTGGTGCGTGAAATGGAAAATCCGCATCAACGTCCAAAAGACGCAGGCAATCTTCATTCAACGAAGAAGGATTGCAAGACCTCTCGAAGCATCCATCTTCGACGAAGATATTCAGTGGAGCGACAAAGTCAAATATCTGGGGATCGTATTTGACAAGTCCCTCACCTGGAAAGCCCACATAGAAGCTGTCATCGCAAAGACCAGAGCAGCCATGGCTCAACTCTACCCATTACTGGGTAGACACAGCCGGATGCCGCTAGCGACCAAGCTACGGCTGATCAAGGCCATCGCCAGACCTCAGCTCGCTTACGCCTCCGCGGTCTGGGGGTACGCTGCCCCCAGCTACCGCAAGCGACTTGCTGCTCTAGAGATGAAGCTACTCCGGATCGCCACCAGTGCACCATCCTACGTAAGAAACTCAACCTTGCGTAGAGACCTGCATTGGGACACCATTCACGAGTACATGAGGAAAAAAGCGGAGAAGACCTTCCAGAAAGCTCAGGACCACCCAAACGAGCAGCTACGATTCCTCATGGACTACGATCCGGACGAGAGGCCTCGCAACCGCAGAACCAGGTACCCTAGACCAAGGTCCCAGTTGGCACCCGCTAACTGGAACCTTGACTAGGAGACTAGGAGAACCCGCGGTTGCTCCCCCCCCCCCACGGCGTGGATGCAGAGGAGCAGGAACCACCGGGACCAGGA